CCGCTCATAACTCGCACTTGCATAAATAATTTCTACCCGCATTGCATATATATTTTCTGTATGTTATGCGCTATCGATAAAGTCACGTCTATATTACTGTGGAAAAACCTGCCATTTTAACTCTTAATAAAACCAGAAGTTATTGGTATAGGTCAAAGTAATCTAATATGTATAGGTCAAAGTTCATTGATAGTAGGCTTTGAATATCGAAATATTTCAAAGTGGAACAGGAAGAAAACAAAATCGAAATTCAAAAATCGGCTCCATAAGAATTGTTCCCACTTTGACTGGCTTCAAACCCAAAAACATTTTGCGGAAATCGAAATCAAAATGGCGGCTGATATCGATTTGAAGCTCTTTTTTAAAAAAAAAAAAAAAATCCAATATGGCGGCATAACGGTTGAAAAAGTTATGGAACAAGGTCTCTGAAAATGAAAGATAATATCTGAGGCTAACACCACCATATGTCATTCTTGGTCTATTTTGAAAATAGAGAACACTATTCATTCTCTGGAAAAATCGGAAGGCCTCAGTTATTGCTGTAAGTTTCCCGAAGCCCTCACAAAAAATTTAATATGTCATTTTGAAGGTATCGACGTGTTCCTTATATCCCTACCAACTGGGTACCTTAAAAAGTTTGAAAAAATGCCGAAGAAAACTTTTGCAAATCTTTGATGTTAAAACTAATCGAGCGAACTTCCGAATTTCGTCAGTCAGAGCCCCTATGGGATTCGTCCAAAGAATCCAAAAATGAAAACCCGACGAAGATCTGTTGAGAAATAACCGAGATATGGGCAATCTGAGATTATTTTTTGTCCCATGCGTAAAACACTTCCTGTTGGTCAAAAATGACCCAATTTATTTTTGATAACAGTTCCACGGAGGCCAACTACAGATACCGAAACACATAATCAAGTAAAATAAATATAGTTGGATATATTTTAGTTAAATTTTTTTTACTCAGAAGTTTTTTATATTTCTTGTAGCAGTTCTTGTTATTAAAAAACCATGGTTATTAGCAATAAATGGGACATGATCGGGTTTATTATCTGCTGTATTATCAGATTCCCAACCTTAAAAATGACATTGGCAATAATAATATGTATTATGCGTTTGAAGATTTGTTTGTCGAAAGTAAACGTCGGTCTGCACGGTTTAATTATTCATATTGCTTCTCGCAAGTAAATGGCCACCAAGTGTATAACTATTCAAACGGAACTTTATCAAAAAGACAATCAAAATTTTCTGTGAGATAAGAATATTGTAGCATAGTATATTAAGTAGAAATTTAAACATTTATGGATTTATAATTCCTTTTGTCGTTTATTCTGCCTAATGTGTCGACGATAGGTTTATTGGTGTGAATTATAATTATCAAAAGCTGTTAACAGTCAGTACATTAGCAGATCAATATACTACAGTATAATAGTCTTCTCTGTTTTCCAGCCCTTCGTTTAAGAGAAACAAACTGTTCGTCTGATCCAGAAAGCGCACTTACTTTGTGTGCAAATGTAGCTCTTGATATCGGCCTTATCTTGGTGGGCATAGTGACGTTTTGTAATGTCTATCAATGTGATAATAACAAGAGCATCGCTAACGCAGCAATATACGTCCACATTCCTGTTTTGTTTGATATGGTCCAGTTTGCATTGAGGGTCTGTGAAATAAAACTGGGTTGTAGGACTGCTATCAGTTTAACACTTCGTTCACATTAACAGAACACAATTTTTATTTTAAAACAATCGATGTCTTTATTCCAAAAGCATGACGTTTCGAATAGGTATGCAAAGTTTCAAAAGGATCTGTTAAGAATTGCGGTCTGTAGGCAAAACACAAGACACACAAACATTAGGCGTGGCTCTGTCCCAAGGGGTCGAGCATGCACCAAAAATAATAATAGAGGTCGGCCTTAGGATTAAGGAATAAGTATAAAAAGTAGCCTTAGGCTATAAGGAATAAGTATAAAAAAGTTTTCAAGATGATCGATTAAGAAATGCGGTCTGCAAGTGACACACAGACATAAAAAAGAAAATGGGCGTAGCTCTGCCCCTGGGGGTTGGGTATTCACCACAAATAATGGGGATGTTCCTTAGGATAGAAGGAATATGTATGCTAGGTTTTAAGGTGATACGATAAGAAATGCGATCTGTAGATGACAAACAAATAAATAAATATAAGGGATGGGCGTGGCTCTGCCCCTGGCGGTCGGGCATGCACCAAAAACAATAGGGATCATCGTTAGGGTATAAGCAATTCATATGAAATTTTTTCAAGACGATTGATTAAGAATTGTGGCCTGTAGGTGACACACAGACATAAAAAGAAAAGAAAATGGGCGTGGCTCTGCCCCTGGGGGTAAAAAAGCAATAGGGATCATCGTTAGGGTATAAGCAATTCATATGAAAAAATTTCAAGACGATTGATTAAGAATTGTGGCCTGTAGGCGACACACAGACATAAAAAAGAAAATGGGTGTGGCTTTGTCCCTGGGGGTTGGGCATGCACCCAAAACGATAGGGATGTTCCTTAGGGTACAAAGAATAAGTATGCAAAGTTTCAAGATAATACGTTAAGAAATGTGGCCTGTAGACGATAAACAAACAAATACAAAAAATGGGCGTGGCTCTGCCCCGGGGAGGCGAGCATGCACCAAAAACAACAGGGATCATCCTTAGGGTATAAGGAATAAGTATGTTAAGTTGATACGTTAAGAAATGCTGTCTGTAGATGACAAACAAATAAATAAATATAAGGAATGGGCGTGGTTCTGCCCCTGGGGGTCGGGCATGCACCAAAAACAATAGGGATCATACTTAGGGTATAAGCAATTCATATGAAAATTTTTCAAGACGATTGATTAAGAATTGTGGCCTCAAATGTTATATAAATCATTATTAGAATGCTAAATCCATAATCAACTCTCTAGAGCAGCGGGTGGTTGAATTAGTTAATAATTTAATTTAAAATGGATAATGGAGACTTTGTTTATTATCGTAACAACGATAGCAATAACAACCGAGACTACACTATTCTTCCAACGGCGATTACTCCGCTGAGAATGAAGTAATTTGATTGATTTTCTATATATTATCTTTCCATTCTCTACGGTCTCACTATTATAGTGAGAACTGTCAGCTCTTTATAAAAATCTAACATAATGTATCTTTAATATACCAGCCCTGACAAAATAATATACTGCGCCTGACAAAATATAACACAAGTACACAAACGCATAACTACGTACCGGTACTAAGAGAGATATAAAGAAAAACTTCGTGGAACCGAGGCATGGTGGAGGTGGGGAAAAAGAGATCATAAATAGCCCCGAATAACCCACCGTACCTTGCTGCTGCCGTGTTATACCACCCATCAAAATATATAATGAATTGAACTGTCAAAATTAACAGAACTGATAATTAAAAGAAAACATGATTGATGAATCGATCGGAAATTGATCCTTGTAAATTATACTACAGAGTTGAGTGCGATGGGGTATTATTTATACAAACTAGAATAATACGAATAATTGTCAGAAAGTCTGCTAAAATGAATGAAGTATAATACTAATGCTGAGGCCATGCTAAATATTACCTTGATTTACAGAAACTACAAACTATACACACAAAAAAGGGGTTAAGCACCCTTTGTATTTTTCTTTTTTAAAAATGACTTGTCGTACAAGGTTTGGCGTTGAAACCTCGATAATGTAACCGATTTGAAAATTGAAACTGACGTAAGTTAGCATATCAGTTTAAAGTTAATGTACCGGAAGGCAATGTACTCGTAATTCATCTGTCCAATAAACTAGTTAGAAAGGTACAAAATCAGGTCAATAATCTTTATGTTGACACAATTTAGAGAAGTCCAGTGACCTGTCCAGTTAAGGGCTTTAAAGATAACAAAAAGGGCGTGCGCTATAGCTGTTAACCTATATCGTTCGTTTCCGACCTTGTTGGTTAGTCTATTTTCGTATTGTGTTCTATTGTTTGATTTTCTGTCGGCTGCTATATTATATTTTAACACTGCGTGTGGACGTATTATGTAATCACCCGTGTCTGTCCGCCGTATGTCCGTTCTGTAACAAAACAAACTTGGCTATCGAAATTATAGTGTCGCATGTATCATGAAAACTTAACATTGTCGTCTTTCATGGGATGAGATTTGTTAATTGAGCGATTTGAAATGTTTTAAAGGAAGTAAATGTGATAATGGGGACTTTTAGACTGCAGATTGTACATATAATATGGACGAATATGGTCGCCACTGACGTCTGGTCGTAATTCTTGGTAAGAACAGGTTAGCATTTCTTTTCCAAATTTGCAATGATTGCAGTTGTTGTTCCCTGGCTCATAAGTGACAAGTCATCGTCTATGGTTTGGAGTTATCTTTCGTTTTGTTTACATTTTCACTTTGCAAGTTTCTTATAGCAGTAGGCCCTACATGACAAGACAAGCCCTATTGGTGTCCAGCGTTCCGCAATTTTCCGTTCCGAAAACCATCTGACCACGATAGATGGTAAAGTTTTTAATGGTTTGAAGCGTCTGAGGTCATGAGAGAGAGAGAGGGAGAGAGAGAGAGAGAGATGGGTTTAGTACACACTGGACACAAACTAGGTCATTTCGGGAGTAACACACTGTTCAATTTTATTTCAATAAATCGCTTGCGCGTAGGGGTCTTTAGCAGTGGGAGGAAAGCGTAGGACCCGTAGAAAACCCACGTGGTTGAACAGGCGACCCTAATCTTTGTCACGTAAAGCCGGGGAATCGATGAGGTCATGAGAGGACGAAGTCTATATTATTGATATTCAGCGTTCCGTGACCTTCTATTCCGCAATTACCCAACTTTTCCAAAAACCTTGTGAACGCAAAAGTGCCTGCGGGTTAAACAGATTTTGACGGGATGAACCCTCTCGGCCTAGCATGTTCTCCGTCCATCTCTTGCAAACTGGAGGCGTATCCTGCATGGTAACCTCTTGTTTACATATTATATAGAATTTGAAAATGGATCCCCTTGAAGATGGTGAATATGTGACGAATCGGATGGTAATACCAGAGGTTCCTGTATGTGTAAGTCTTCAACCAAACTCGCCGTTCGTGGTGAATGATGAAATGGATTTAAAGAAACACTGGTCTGAAGATGATGTCCGCGAAGCTTTTGTGGGTGTCGACGATGTAAAGAATAACGATGAGGATAATGGCTTGCCGATAGACAGAGATTGGGCCTGGGTTATTGCAATTGGTAATAATTATTCTATAAACCAGATCTACCTTATAATATTAAAGTAACGATGCGGGTTCTGCATTTTTCTGAAAATAGCTAATTTCTCTCGATTTAATAGATGCTAATACTGTATGTATGATTATTTAACATTTAATTAAGAAAAATCAAACTACATGTACCAAAGCTAGATATCATCCCAGCTTAGATTCAAACTAGGACCATCAATTTGGTTCAAATAAACATGGCAGCCGTCGTGTTACATATATGGAGCAGCATAGATCGATGGAATTTTCAATTTATTTGTAAATACTGAACGGAACTGAACCATTTTTGGGACTGATATTCATATTAGACCGACGCTGTCACCCAATGGTCAATATTATTCGTCCAGGGCGTTTAACCACACTGATATCATTGCATGTGGTTGGAATTATACGAAAACATCAAGTAACATGAAAAAATGGTTTGAACAACACACAAGCCTTGCGAACTTGTATGGATAATAAATAAAAGAATTGTAAAAAAGGTTTAACTGTTTCGGTAATGTGTATCGTTCTTTTTCCAGCGGCTCATCTCAATGCTTGTATTATCGTAGGATATATGAGGGCGATGGGAATCTTCTTCTTGGAGTTTTTGAGAGAGTTTCAAACATCAGTTACAATGACGACACTGGTTTATGGCGTCATGTTCGGTGTATTTGGTGTGACAGGTTAGCGTAAATTAGAAAATATTCCGTAAATAATGATTAACCAAAGTAACAGATAGTGTATAATAGCGTATAATACATATTATTCAGTTACCCTGGAATAATCAGAAGGTTGGCTCATAGTCTTATAATATTGCTGACATCATTGCTTCTGCCCCTGTGGGAGCTGCAGCAACTATGTGGGTAAGACGTTGGCTCGCGAACGTGAAGGTCATGGGTTCGATCCTGGTTTTGGCCAGGAAAGTTCCCCAGAATAATCCGATAGGTTATTCTGCCTTTGAGATTTGTGGGGATCATTAGTGTTCATTGCGTATTGTTTTTTTTAGGAGAAATGGTGATATCGACTTTAATATTACAGATAAGGCGAAACTGGGTTCATGACGAAGTTTGGCATGCAGGGGGGGTATTAAGGAGATTTTGTCCCGACAGTGGCGTTTTCGCACCCTCTATATTGTAAATGGTTGTTTTTTCTCCGATTCAAACAACTAGACGCTGTACCTTGCCACGCCATCTGTCCTGTGCCACTGACAAGGGAAACCACAATGCAAAATCCCGAAGAACACCCATACCTCCCGGTTAGTGAGCTAGAACACTATTCTCTGAGTCTGAGCCACGAGCAAATATGGTTGAAGTTATACTAGAACTAGAGAATAGCACTGGTGTTGCAAGGACGACTTCTTAAGTAGCGCGGTGAGAATATTACGGCCATAAATGAGAAAGATCCAATCGTATGACCTATCTCTGTCACATCCTATGAGACATTTCACAATGTAATACATAATAAAATACAGTTTTATTTCTGCTTTCAGTTTTTATAGTAATGCAGATTTTAGTAGGACGATTTCAAGTTCGATATTTAGTAATTACGGGAACATTATTATCCTCAACAGGGGTAATATCTTCAGTGTTTGCCAGGAATGTTACAGAACTGATAGCTACCCAAGGTGTCTTGTTTGGTAAGTGTTAGTGATGGGTGGCATTTAAGTCTTACATAAATATAGAAATGATATATCGGCGCCCAAAATATTCTGAAAACACAAATTAATCAACGTTACCATACATCGTTACTAAATTCTTTGTTTAAATGACGAAAATATTGTGTGGTTCATTGTCACATTTTGCTATACATGCTTATTGAATTTACGTGTACTGCAAATAATATAAATTCATATGTTGTCTTGCATTGTACTACATGCATACGATTATCTTCTATATAAATAAAGTCACATATTATGTGATATCAAATAAACCAGCATGACTCTGTGGATGTTTTAGGCCGTGATTTGTGATGGTCGAGATCATTAACTAGTTCAACACGGCCAAAAACCAATGTTGGGCTGTTTTACTGCAATTAACGGTTAACGGGAGTTATTACGCTAGTTCAACACGGCCAAAAAACAATGTTGGGCTGTTTTACTGCAATTAACGGTTAACGGGAGTTATTACGCTAATTAAATTTAATAATAGTAAAGGATGGTGTAAGCTTGCGGTAAGCGTGCAAGAAAGGCGCGAGTAAGCAGATCTTGGGCCCCGGGTGAATCCGGTATCGCGCTCGTCTACTGTACGAAATAATGAATCTACATACTGTCATGGTTGTTTTTAAACTTTAACTCATCGGTTTAAAACATATTAGGCTACTAATATTAATATTATTAGTAAAGCTTTTGTCTGAATCGTTTTAGATAAGAGAATCGTAAAAATCAATTGTTAGAACTTTGTACCGCCAAGATCAATGAAAATGATATCGCATGTTCAATCTACCACTGCGTATAAATTAAAAGCCAGAAGTTAGTCGTTTCAAAGGTAATCCCAGACAGAAGCCACTCACAGAGTCACAATCATATTTTAGATTTAATAATTAATTGTCTAAGCATAAAGCAGCCTATGACCAACCAGTAGACACTTCACTTTTCTGTTTTCCGAAACTTTTAAAGGACCATGCAAGGGAAACATTAAATGAGGGATTTAATATTGCAACACGGAATGTATATAAACCCCAATTCTTCTTTCCTCCCTTCCTCTTGATTTAAAGGGGTAATCATCCAAGGTTTGGTGGGTTTTATTATTCCGAGATGTGACAATGTCCCAGATTTAAGTTTTAGAAGTGGATGGTAATTCTATATTTAAATCTTAATATTTAGATAACATCTAGTTTCATATCTTGAAGGTTTGAGCACGTGTAATTCTTTGTTTCAGTTTTGGAGATCGAGTAATTTATGTTTTATATCTTGAAAGTTTTGGTAATTCTAAATTTATTTATCTTAAAATGTGGGTACTTTTGATATCATACTTTCTTGCTCCTCTCATATTTTCTCCCTTAACCGGTGGGATTATTGAAACGTTTACTGTGATAAACTGAAAGATTAGATCAAGGTCTTTCTCGCCAAGTAGTATGTTAAGATAACATTTTTTGGTAAAATATCATACTATTGCATAGAGATGTTAAACATTTTTTAAGTGTGGCAATTCGTACCAATATAGCTAGAACTAACTCTTTGGCATTATTTCATACGTCTTCGTTAACATGAACCGTTATCAACAATCGTTGATAGTAAGTGTGCGTATGAACGTTTATCAGCAATCAATAGAGACTTTTGGCAACAGGGATGGTTTCCATCCGCATCACGTATCCGTATCGGGTTTAACGCCATACAGTGTGCTATGAGGGATCTTTTACGTGCACGCCAATGTATACACGGGACCTCGGTTTTTCGTCTCATCCGAATGACTAGACAGCTGTTTCCAAGGGGAAACCACGTCGGAAAATCCCAATGAACTTTCTCGCCCACGTCGGAAAATCCCAATGAACTTTCTCGTCCAATGCAAGGATCGAACGGTTAATTCACATCAAATATACATTTTCGTGTTCTATGATACACACAGATTCATAAAATATCTATGGTACAACACTCCAGCGTCTAAAAGTAGCAAAACAGACTGTAAAAAGACAACCTTTTCCTATGAAAGCGGCTCGATACGTGCTGCCGTATCCGAGTGCCGTATTTCGTATGAGAAATACCCACACACTGTTAACGTCACGCGCAAAATCGATACCAATACGCGATACGGACCATGAATTTATGCTGGCTTAAAGTCGCGAGTGCGTACGTTTATCAAAAATCGTTGCTAGTCCGTGCGTCTACATACATCTATCAACAATCCTTGATATTCAATTCGAGTACATATTTTATCAACAATCGTAGATAGTAAGTGCGTTTACATTATACATACATCTATCAACAATCACCGATAGTCAATGCGGCTACGTACCTTATCAACAGTCGTTGATAGTCATTGTGAGTACGGTATTGTATCTTTATTAACAATCGGTTATAGTCAGGTCATACCTTTGGAAATACTTTTGCCAAAATGCTTAAAATTGATATAATAAGGACCATTCCCCCCCCCCCCAAACGCTAACTAAGAACGTAAATCTGTATAGTCAATGATTGAACTTCAATAGGGTTCATCATTATTAGTAATATTACTACTCAATCTGATTAAAATACAGATCTAAATTTTGAACTATAAAAACGAAACGAAATAGGATCTGTGTTTGAACCATGCAGATTGTATTACTACTCAAACAATTCCAGGAAGTTTAAAAAAAATTGAAAAACTCTGGCCTTTGAAGCTTTAAGAGGTTTTCGGCGATAAGAGCAATAACCTGGGAGTAAATGATGCATGATTCCGGAGTTCGACACGATTCCTGTCTTTGTGTGGTTGAATAAGCCCAGTAAGTTTAACCAACAATTCCCAAAATGTGATACGTAGTTCAGAGGGACCAACAGCTATAATCAACCAGCTTAAAACGCAGGCTTATAAACCTCATAATTAAGATTAGATAAATTTGATGATGTTTTCTTTTCATTTGTCAGGTTTGGGCAGTGCTATGATACATGGTCCAGCATTGGTACTACTTGGTAAATACTTTAAAACAAGACGTGGGTTAGCAACATCTATAGCCAACTCAGGAATTAGCTCTGGCGCTGTTATTTTTCCTCCTCTGGTTCGATATCTTCTAGACAGTTTTGGTTTAAGAGGAGCTCTGTTGATTGTTGGAGGACTTCAGCTTAACATGCTTGTGTTCGGCCTTTTACTTAGGCCTGTAGAAAGTTTTAAACATAAGAAAAAAGTAACGTCGGTAGTAGAACTAAAACTAATACCTGAAACACAAAACAATATAGACAAACAAGAGAATTCGCTGTCGATTGCTTCAATAAATATAGGAACTGTAGGACAGAATATACCAATAAACAACCCTCAGTCTAGCCCATTACTGGAACGGCAATCCAAACATAGAAAACGAACTTTAACAGAGGCAAGCAAAGTGTCGGAATACCATTCACAGTCCGATGTTTTCTCATTTGTCGGACAAGATCAGGAAACTGAAACAAGGCCAATCATTAAAAGCAGAATCAGTGAATGCTTTGGATTATTTGGTCTCACACTTTGGAAAAATCCACTATTTGTGCTGTTACTCCTGTGCAATGGATTCGGTATTTTTCTCCCCCTATTTCTGTCCTATTATCCCGCTTTTGTTGCTGAGAGTGGAACTAGTGACAACGATTCCGCAACCTTTCTGTCAATAGCTGGAGCTTTGGACTTCTTCAGTCGTCTAGGTGCGGGATACTTCGCGGATTTTGGATACGTAAAACGAACCCACATTTGCGTATTTACTTTGGTCGTGTCGGCAATTAATTGCCAATTTGTGGAGTTCTACACTTCGTATTGGTTACAACTTTTTGGGGCTGTGGTGTATGGATTGTTTGGTGGAGTATTTAATTCATTTTTACCGGTTCTGTTGATGGATCTGCTTGGTGTAGAGAATTTATCTAAATCTCTAGGTTTTGTTATGGTGTTACAAGGTATAGCCACCAGTATTTATCATCCTATTATTGGTAAGTAAATCTTTAGGTATTTTCATGATTTTACATCCCGGTAGCGTAATTAATTAAGCTATTATTGCTAAATAAATCTTCAGGCTGTGTCATGAATTTAATTAAGCTATTATTTATAAGTAATGTTTTATGTTTAGTCATGATTTTACATGACGGTAAGTAAATCTTTTGGCTTTGTCATGATTTTAAATGACGTAATCAAGCTATTATTATTGCGTGAATCTTTAGGTTTTGTCATGATTTCACATGATGTATTTAATATAAAAAAACGACGCTTGGAAATACATTAGTTGATTCAAAACTGACTTAGACACATGTCCGGGTGGATCAGTGAATCTGTGAATGTGGTTCCGTTTGATGGCCCAATAAAATGGATAACGACCATAAATCATTCAAACAACAGGCGGTCTATATTTTTTGAAAGTGTATGTGCGTCATGTGTTGAACATGATTCGTTTCAATATATATAATTTAAATAACAATGTTCTGTTGTCTTTTTTTTCAGGTTCCTTAAAAGATTTAACTGGATCCTATTCTGCCTCATATCATTGCATGGGAAGTGCTGTAACTATAGCTGCTGTCTTTCTTGTGATAGAACCTTTGTTTAAAAAACCTTTAAAACCAGATGACAAGAAAATTGGTGAAAATGGCGAATGAAACTATTCTATTTTTTTTAAATGACATGTCAATTAGTTGTGAAATACGTTTGGTGACTATTAGCTACGGTACTCAAAATTATCCTATTGGACAAGTGGTGGACCGATGGATCAAAAGGGTATCGTCGTAACATCGCTATATGTTGAGGTAATCAATGTTATAAACAATTCCAAAAATGTAATTACATTTATGAATAAACTTCATATATAATGTTATGAAATTATAGTCATTACTAGCATCTCTGGTGCAAGGTTGGTAACACCCAGAATATCGCAAATTAGAGATTTCTCCCGTTGACATCTCGATCAGGATAAATCTATTTGTTATGGTCACCTCAATTTTCGCTGAGATGCAAAAAAATGTAAATGTAAATTACACGTGATTGTTGGCGAGATTGTACGTTAGGGTTCGTGTAAGCATTAGAGCTAGGTCCAGAGTTAGGGTTGGGGTTGGGGTTAGCGCTGGCTCTGTTTAAATCTCGTGACCTTTGACCAAACTTGAAGTTGGCCTTATCAAATAGATTTAACCATCTTTATCATTGTCCAATAATCATGAATGACATTACTCATCCTACTGCACCAAATACAAAATAAATAGCACCATTTCATAGAAAAGAAAACATGTTTATTCTGGTTCCCTATATCGAATCAAAAAAAGAACAAATTTTCTCATTTAATTTATATAAATAGAGAGATAAAATGGCCCGTAATCAATGTCATAAACACAATCAATAACAATCATTGAAAGGATTGATAACAATAATCAATTGCATTGATCAATTAAACTGATCAATTAAACAGATCAATAACAACATATTTTTAATCTCATATTATTGCAAAATATAAAGAAAAAATATAATTATATAAAAAATAACTACCGTACGTACATTCAGCCTATAATATGGAATATATCGATTTGAATTACGTTTTGTAAGTTTGTTTTTTTAAAACTATTTTATGAATCATTTGGTTTGAAGTTGAACCATCTGATTAACAATTAAAAAATACAATCGATTGCAAAATACAAAAGGGTAGGTCGAATATCTATGATGAATTGCCTGGTTTGAATCTGAACCATCTAGTTTTCAGTGCTATAGGCTTAAATCCAACTGATCGATGTATCCGGATGGCTGGTGCGTTGTCATCCTCAGCTAACGACACAAACACCTGGTTATCATCAAGCAGTGCTTTGGCTAGATGTGACAATATAACTTTAGCGCACCCGTTTCCGCGATACTGCTCGTGGACAAATAATAATCCGATGGTACCGAAGTACGTTTGACTTGCGACGCCAACAAAATGCTGACCGGCTTTAGTGATAAGGGCTAACGAACGAAATTTTGTTATTAAAGCCTGGGTATATTCTAAGATACCGGGTCGAAGTTGGTATTTTGAATTGCTGCAGTAGAGTTCTGGTGCTTCTTTAGGGTTCATCCATTTCAACTCCATACCATCGGGTACATCACTATACAATATATAAGAAACAGTTTGTTGTGTTGCAATGAAGGTATGGACAGTACAAAATTGTAACATTTTGGTTTCAAAGGGGCAAACGTGTTAAATAACATAGCAAGAAGATTCTGCCATCGCCGGTGGATTTCTCCTTTAAATCAAAATACATACCCCTTTAAAACAAATGAAAAATTCATGGATTATAACAATTGCCTATAGATTTGGGCGTGGGTGATTGTTTTTTTTTATTATTGTTTTACCAATACACTTACTGCAAAACCAAATCTTCTTTAGTCATTGTATAAACTATACATTCTGGGTCCTTGGTAAACTCGCCTTTTTTCTCAATGAGTAGATCATCTATAGCTGGCCAAAATCGACTAGGGACCGCTGAAATATACAGAACAATGGAAACAACAGCCCAATAATATGGATATGACTTACACTGACAATACACTACTTTTTTAAGGAAATTCTTCAAAGGTGAAAAAAGGGAAATAAAACGTTTATTCTCTCACGTGGACGTTGATGTTCTGATGATCGGGCCATCTACACCCCACAAATGAACTATAAATATTGCAATGAAAAACCTCGAAAGTCTAAACTGACATTGTGCTTGCGCTAATTAATAAGGTGACCGTTCAGTTTTAACCTTTTTCTGATATGTCAAGTAAAACGTAGTACAATATCAATATAACATCTGATGGCTACAGCCATAGGCGTACGAGCCAGGGGGGCGAGGGGGGGGGGGGCAGCTGCCCCCTAACTTTCGGGCAATCAGACTTTTCGGGCAGACGAGTAAAGTGAAAAAATAACACTCTAATGTTTACTTTTCTTTTAATTGAATACCACCAATTTGTACTAAGGGGTGGTGGGGGTGGATGGCCAGATGGTTAGCACGCGCGCGCTGTATCATACGGTCTGTCATTGAGTCAAATGGCGGGGTTTCGATTCCCCGGTTGTACATGACAAGGAGTAGGCTCGCCTGTCCAACCTCGTGGGTTTTCTCCGGGTCCTCCGGTTTCCTCCCACTGCTAATTGGACCATATGTTAGTCCCAAAATGACCTAGTTTGTGTCGAGTGGGAGTTAAACCCCATTTCTCTCTTTCCATTTTGTACTGAATTGGCTATAGATTAAAACATTTGGTCTGGAGGCACTCTACTTTATGCGACATTTTCATCGATAATTATTTATGAATGCAGCTGCAACATTGTGATTGGATGGTTGGAATTCAGGTCGGCATAGAGTGGGATTTCGGTTACAAAACCATTAGGGAACTCTAGAGTTGCTTATCTCACGGGCTAGATAAGCAGAAAAACGCATTTTTGGTGGTAACATTTTCAAAATTTTCTCCCGGAGAGCGTGGCTCCCATACTACGAGACGATTGATTGGTTGTTGGGGGGTCCGTTCAGGTCAGCCACCAAAGGTAGGCTATATTGGACCACATTGAAGTTGCTGTATTTACAGACTGGAATAGAAGGAAAGCGCGTTTGCAACAGTTAAATTTTCAAAATTTCCCCCCGACGGTTTCGTCTCCGTGGACTGTAAACGATTGATTGGTTGATTGGAATTCGAGCCAGCCATCTTAATTAGCTATATTAGCGCACTTTGAATTTGCTGTATTCAGTGGCTGGAATAGCAGGAAAACGCGTTTGCCGCAGTCAAATTTTCCAAAATCCTACAGGATAAGCCCCGCTCCACCGCTGTAACAGAAGACCGGCGGCGCCGTTTGTAACCCGGATTCTGTCCCCCTAACTGTCATCGAGCCCGTACGCCTATGGCTACAGCTCACCAGGGATATTCCTACTGACTTTTTAACTTTCGATTCTTTGCAAGGTTTAAAACATATCCCAAACGTGCATTGATTTGAACATTTTCTGCCACATGGGGAACAACATTTGGAAATACCTTGCTCTAAAGTTGGTATGAAGTTGTACATTGAAATTATATACACGCAATCATGTTGAAAGTAAATATTAACAAACCCCTGAATTCTAATAGAGAAAATGCAAGATTCTGGTGGTCTTCTAAAAATACAGAATGTGTCATGTTATAATGATAAACAATTTCTAGAAGTGGTTGAAAGATACACCAATTGGATACCTAATACGAGGGTAAACGTAGAATGAAATAATTTGAAGGACCTTGAACGCGTTTCTCAGGCCCGCAACTAAGGAGGGGGGGCTCCCCCTGCAAAAAGTTTCGCACCCCCTGTGAAAAAATTGTCGACCAAAGATATACATTGTCCGTCAATTTCACAGCACCATTGAGAACACTTCCCGCCCCCCTCGTTGCTGTGAACTAGTTACATACTCCTCGCAGTGTTCCGTTTGATTAGAGCTAATCCCACTAGGGATTTCTCGGGCCATTGCTTCAGGAATATGAGCTAGTTACGGCCCTGGCGTTTCTGCTTTCTACGTTCTACCGTAAACAGAATGGTTGCGCAGACGTTCGTGTCGACTATGGCATCGTATGTATGTATAAGCGAAGTGTTATTGAACTGCACCTGATGAACAAATAGTAGTTATTTTAACTTAGCCTACACATTTTGTATTGTGGGCTATTGACAAATTAAAACTCACCACCAAAGGTAACCCTTTCTGACCAGTTTATAAAGCCATCAGCCGTAATAATTTTTATCAGTTGTTCTGGATTGGTACCGTAGACAAAATGGTATTTATCACTAAATTTGAGCTGCCAGTAAAGAATTCGTGTAAATTACAAAATAAAGTGAAACATGGGTTAGCGTCATACTTTTCTGGACCAACCGGGAAAATGAAGACGGGCATACCCCATGTATTATGTTATGGGTGAAATTTAGCTCGGACAGCGGCGTTCCAGGATCTTATGTCAAATTCCAAATGTTACACGGGGCCTAGTGTTTCCGCCCATCCGAACGACTAGACGCCGTTCTTTGTGAGGCCCTCCGCCCTGCACCGCTGACAAGGGGAAACCACGCCGGAAAATAACGTTGATCTCGATCGAACCACTGACCTCCGGTTAGCGAGTCAGCGCCTTCCTCACTCAGCCCACTCAGCCAATATAATAATGTAATGTAAGGTGCCTCCAAGCTAAAAATTACCTCATGCTTTTGTGGATCTGGACGAATAACTAATGCTGTAAAATCTGGCCATTGATCAACATAAAAATCAACAGAAGTCCATCTCTTCTCAATTGTATTCTTTACATGAGAATATTCCTACAAATACAAGGTTGTCGGTGATCAGGATGAAAAGGGTGTCGAAAATCAAAAACTATGGTTCAATTTTAATTTAATAATTCATTTCCCCGTAGGGGTCTTTCAGTTGAAGGCGGGAACCAGAGCACCCGGGGAAAACCCACGAGGCTTGACAGGCCATCCCACTCCTTGTCACGTACATGCTGGGAATCGAAACCAAGCCACCTGACTCAATGACAGACCTTGAGATCTAACACACACGCGTTAAACAATTCAGCGACCCAAAGGCGGGGAATACTAAAAAATCTGTCCATGTCATTTCGTAGAAAATGTTCAACAAATTAATCTAAATAACACCATACATCCATATTAGTCTACACAGCTCACTTCTTATTAGATAGCCTTGCGTCCAGCGATTACAGGATGTGCACAAGTCCAATAAAGGCGCCATATTGTTATGGCTGTACATTGCCACAGAGACGCACCCTATAATCAAAACCGTATTAAGCAATGCAATACGTTGATGTAATCCTAATGCAATGAATACAATACATGCGGTTGCCATGCAAGATGCGTCCACATTTTGCAAGAAATGGACAGAAAACAAGGTCATAAAAAGGCGATTTTTCGAAAAGTCAGGGGACATAATCCATGAAATTATGGTCTGATATGCGCGAATATCAAAAGGAATCGAAATCTCTGGGATATAAAGATTATTTTAAGTTTCATCAAAATCAGATAAAAATTCTGACCTGGAGGGTCCACAACCTTGGTATTACATAATTTTACACTATTGCAGTCATTTTGTCGAACAGTTTCGGTCTGATTTTCACGAAATTCGAACTCAACCGTCATTAGGTTGTAACACTGATATATTTAAAAGTTTTTTAAAAATCGAACAAAAATTGTGGCCTCTAGAAGGTCCACAAGATAAAAACTGGATTTTTTTAACAATCCGATATGTGTGAATATCGAAGGGAACCGAAATCTTTGGTATATAAACATATATTTTAAGTTTAATCAAAATCGGACATGAATGGTGACCTCTAGCGGGTCCACAACTTGGTATTACATACTTTTACACTATTTGTGTTCAAGGAGCGGCCATTTTGTAGGTCAGTTTCGGTCCGATTTTTACGAAATTCGAACGCAATCATGATGTGTAACGCTGATATTTTAAATGATTTTTCGTACAATCAGGGGCCATAATCCATGAAGTTTCGATCCGATGCATACTAAAATATCGAAAGGTACCGAGATCTTTTAGAGATAACCCTATATTTGTCAAAATCAGATAAGAATTTTGACCTGTATACATAGAGTGTCGATGCACAAACAAATTGTGGACGGACGGGCGGACTGACGGCCGGACAGGGGCGACGACAAATACATGTGGGCGTATGATAATATACAAATCCATTAGATTCTAAACATATCGTACCTTGTATGATTCGGGTAAGATCTCTTTTAATTTCCTCAATAACTCAGGAAGTAACGCAGCGCCTATTCGTGTCCCCATTTTGCATAGAATCCGATTTCAAAATCTACAACAAAGATTTACATATGGCGGTATATTAGATTCAAAATTCATATCGTCTAATTTCTAACTTCTGTTCATGTAATTTTAAACTTATATTCATGTAATTTCTAACTACTATTCATGTAATTTCTAACTTCTATTCATGTAACATTTAAATTAAGAAAATGTATAATCCAACTTCTTTATTTGTTCACTGTAAATTTTAATTCTATTTCATCTTATTTCCATTATTTAGACGAAAAACGTATTCTCCGTTGATGCTTTACACGTTTAGCATGAACATAACGGATTTATAATTTTTTACACTTCTGCTTAGCAACCATCATTATGAAGTCGTTTGGTGTCGCCACTGCGTGCTCATTTGGTGATTGCGCACCTGGTTGGGACCATTATGCATTGTTTAATGGTCGAGAGCGAGACATTAAGTAATATATTTAACCACAAGAGGGTCGTAGGCCCGAGTGTTTTTACAATATATTACGCAATGTCTTAAGCTCGAGATCAAGACTTAGAATACAGACAATCCGCACGTGCTCGAGCTTAAGACATTGCGTACTATGTATTGTTTAATGGTCGAGAGCGAGACATTAAGTAATATATTGTAACAACATGAGGGCCGTGAGGCCCGAATGTTTTTACAATATATTACGCAATGTCTTAAGCTCGAGACCATTAAACAACTTAAAATACAGCCACTTGCACGTGCTTTGCAATGAAATACGTCACTCGAGTTCAATATTTTACCAAGTTACGCTTGGCACATTGCCCGTACGATTATTTGAAATAATGGTACCCCAACATCAAAGGATGACGTCACATCTGTATTTTAAATTGTAAAAACACTCGGGCTTACGGCCCTCTTGTTGTTACAATAAAGTACTTAATGTCTCGCTCTCGGCCATTAAACAATACTTAAACGACTCGCTCTACGTCAGGTTGGTGGTTGGCCGGAGTGCTGAAATTTAGAAAGAGAGGGAGAAATGGGGTTTAATGGCCACTCTACACAAACTACTGTCTGGACCATCGTAAATTAAAAACGGATTTCTTCGATTATGAACAAACTACTTGACTTTGGTTATTATAAACTTACCTGTGTGTTTGAAATTACCTCCGGTTAAATAAAATCCATTGTACAACTAAATATCCCAGCGAATAAAAAAGTTCTCTCTTGTAAAATTGAACTCATCACAAACTTTGACATCGAGAAATCAAAAATGGAAGCTAATTACGTCACTTATCGGGACAGATCATTTCGTATAAAGGGGGTCTCAGCAAGGCTTGTCTATCGTAACGGTGTTTGGCTCTTTTACGACAATTCAAATTTTGTGTATGAATAATAGACCAGGAGCCGAGTGGGTGAACTTAGCTGAAAAGTGTACCAATTTTCTCCTATATGGTATCAATGCATGTATATCTGGTATCATCAGAATGCAAGTCTGTCGGGTTTCTGGTGGTGGGTGTGGCTTTCCACGCCCAGAATGCAATGCCCCCAACTAGACTATCGGCAGATAGTTCCATGTCTTTCTATTAGTATTTCTCTTCGAATATTATTTCCGTTGTGCAAAAGCTGTTCAGAATTTTGCGTCTCGGTAACACAATTAATTTCCGAAAATCCTGGCTTCGTTTTGAAATTCACAGGGCAATGTATCCATACGATTGTACTCTCGGTTATTAACTATAGGCCTATATTAATCACAAGTACTACTCCATTTTGAAATCCACAGAGAATGGAATTTTCGGATGGAATTTCGTAGATCGCGATCATACTCAGCCAATCAACGCTTTGAATTCTATTACCGTAAAAGGTACCATGCCATATAAGTTATTGTATACTACACTGATGCAGTGAAAATGGTTAAATTTAGCGCGAAACTTGCACGAGCTTTTCCCACGGTCTGCATAATTAACACACAAGACCTAATAATACATGCAATCTGCGATACCTCTTTTGACGAGTGATTTTTTGTTTTAAATACATTTTTATAAAGACGATAAACGATGTTTAGGCACCCCGAACTGTTCTTATCAACAATGTTTCGATTTCATTATCTATCGAATAAACCCCCAAAAAATAATTTAATCGGGAATATTATGGACGTGAACAGTTGGAACGTTAATTAAATATGGAAATTATTGAGAAGCGGTGGCCTTTTTTCATAGTTTATGAAATAAAGTATGTTTATTTATAAATGTTAGCCACGGGGTTGCATATAATTGACAGGGATGTATAGGGCCTAATATAATTTATTAAAATATATATAATACACACTAACAGTAACACAGGGTTTTTACAATTATTGGGTGATGATGATGTGAAAAGCAATATTTACGTGTATTTGTGTAATCGGTGTTATATTCATTGTGAATAAAAATTTAGTAGACTGACAATCAATTGTTTCCAAATTAATTTTATTGTCTTCAATTGCCATTTTTGTTGCCCAAACTCAAACGATCGGAAAGGTCGCGCGTTGTTGTGATTGCAGCACACGTGATTGTCAAAATTTGTCAACCATTGCCCCCTTCAACATATTGAGATGGTTCAGCTCATCACGTGACATGTACAATGTTATGATGAACTTAGTCGAAAATACAAGCAAAAACATTGACTTTACAAGAGAGAACTTTTTTTCGTTGGAATATACAATTGTGCAATGGATTTTATTCAATTTACAAGAGAGAACTTTTTTTTCGTTGGAATATACAATTGTGCAATGGATTTTATTTCAAACACATAGGCAAGTTTTTAATAACAATTATTCAGTAGTTTGATCACAATCGACGAAATCCGTTTATAATTTACCACGGTTCAGACTGTAGGTCATTTCGGGACTAACATATAACCCAATTTTATTTCAATAATTGGCTTCCGCGTAGGGGTCTAGCAGTGGGAGGAAACCGGAGGTCGAGGTTGGACAAGCGACCCTACTCCTTGTCACGTATACAACCGGGGAATCGATGCTGAGATTGTAAGCAACACCGAACGTGATATGGTTGGCAAATACTATTTCAAATATAAGTTAAGCCAATATTAATATTTATAGACTGTTGATCTGTATTCTATTACTGCTTTAAAAAAAATGTCACTTTATAATGACAAATTTTTTCTTGAAATGGTTCAAAGATATAAATTTAGAAATCCCATATTGTGGTAATGAAAAGGCCTTTAAAGGAGACCGGGTTAATCTGTTCATGTGGATAGCGATAAAGTTGTTATTTCTAATATTCCTTCATTACACCGACCTGACTAACTTTATGGCAGTGTTTTTCCAACAATATTTTATTCAAGTTGCATAAAGCAATGCGGAATTTCATAGACAGCGATGTTCTTGACGAATTTAAAACAAAATGAATTAGGACTATAGGGTTTATCGTCCTACTTTTCTACACCAACTGGGATAATGAAGACGGACTTACGCCATAGGCTACAGAGTGCCATGGGTGAAATTTAGCCAGCGGCGCCACGGTCTACTTTTATTACGAATTACAGCTGCCAAGGTTTTTTGTCCTATCCGAACGACTAGACACTGTCCCTGCCTACAATAACGGTCCAGCCTCCGCAAATCACAGGGACGAAACTAATAATGTCAGGAATATTATAAAGCTTAGTTTTGCAAATATGTATACTAGCTGACCCATAGATATATATTTCTATGATTTAACCGATATCTTCTGGCGTGGTTCTCCCTCCCTTGTTATTAATACAGGACGGGGGAATTCCGTTAATCGATGTAAAAGGGAGTGGGGAGAAATCCTGGTAATGGAGTTGCCTCCCTTAAATAACAACCTAATACCTGTAGTTACATAATATTATTCATCCCACCGTTAGTGGGTTTGCTAACCGTTATGGTAATAATAGAGCAGTTGGCACTTGGACGCTTTAACTAAACATCCCAATGATTTATTAATAGTTAAATATCGATATTCTCTTGTGGTGGTAACTAGAGCATCGAGCAACTTTACCTTGATGTGATGTAGGACAAAGATCATCAAATATTTCTACGCCGGGGGCGAAAGTTATTTTTAGTCTTTCTCCCTTTCCCTTTTTCCCCTTTTTGCATCGGGATTTTTGTTGACTTTTTGGTGTAGAATCGAAGCAAAGGGTTTGAAAATACATTTTCTGTCAGGTTTTGGTGAGTATTCATGATTTTGAGGCGGAAGGATACAAGAGTTGAGAGATTGGTTAACAGGTTGAAATGTAGGGCCGAAAATTGCATGTTTACTTATCTCTACTTCCAGCTTGTGTATCTCAAATTTTTCATGGTGAACCTCATACATGCTTTTGGGCAAGAATTTGCCACATGTTGCTCCATCTGTGGCAGAAAGCGTTCTACCCAACGAACATTTGGGAAAAAGTTAGAGCCGGTCTAAGATACGAGAATGTGGCTATGTGAATACCAACTGGCCAAGTGCGACCAGTGCGACCACGTAATCTAGACTAGCTTTATTTATAGGGTATTTTCCTTTTCCCAATTAGTATTATGGCAACTAAAATTAGTATTGATTCTTTTCAAAACAGCCATATATGAACATGATTCTGAGAATACCAAAATGGCAAAATCATAATCCACTTAATTCCGTGTCTAATTTTTAACGGGTTATTAATTATTTCCTATCGTTCCATTTTCGCTCGATCCGTTTCGATATTTGGATGAACTCTTTCGACTGGATGGTCGAGCCTATGTTCTAGAAAACAAACAAACTATTTTTACTCAGTTCTTTTTAATGAAAATGAAACTGAAACTGAAACTATAAACTGGAACGCGGAAATGAGTTTTACGCAAAACGCCAAGACAACTTCCGTCACAGGACGAGGCAGCGGACGAGGAACAAGGGGGGCAGGACGTGGATCCGTCATAAAGAGAGGGAATCGGACATCAACAATAGTAAACAATCATCCTGTTACCGTTGGAGCAAGGACTGCACCTAGAACTTCACTCCCCACAGTTTCTCCTAGTCCTAGTGTCAGGGGTAGAACTAATCGTGGTAGAGGTGCAAATACAAGAAAAACGATGTATGATGATGATGATGATACTGGTGCCAGTAACATTGATCGATTGGGTGGTCCAGATAATCGAAATAATGACAGCCGTCCCGAAAACAGAATTTCTCAGTAAGTTAGGACCATCCCAAAATTTCAACTCTTGCGTCCAAAGAAATAACCAGCCGAATTTTCTGGAACACCTGATTATGACATGTAATTCAGTTTAAGTGACTGGTAATGTTGTATTCATTTTGAAATTCAAGTTAAATTTTCTACTCTCCATTCTTCTTATTTATGTTGATTTAAGGGTTTAGTTCAATAGTTGCCTCACATTTTGGATTATCCCTGTCTTTTGTGTTTTTGCACTGTCTATAGTCACAGATACATTTTAGTGAATAAAATTTAGTGAAATATGCTTGAAAAGCATTAATTCCTAGAGCCTACTGTTCAGCAATATCTGAGGCTTGATCTGTGATACTTTTTCACTTTCTGCAACATCCGTTTTAAATTAATATTTTATATATTTTGTCTAATTTTAGTGGCTCTGGTTTTACTGTGATATCTCCAAATGAGAAGAAGAGAAGAGAAATAAATCAACGTAATATGCTTTTCCTAATGTTGATTATCTTATAAATAATAGTCTTTAAATGGCATTTAGTAGCTGGATAGATAAACCACAAAAACACATACATGTACATGGAGAATAGTGTTGAAAATCGGATCGAGATTTGTGATCCGAATACTTTTGTTTGCTATCCGAATACTATTCGTCGGATAATTCGGAAACGTGAAATTCTTGAACAAAATCACATCAAAAGTTCATATACTCATAATTTCTTACTTATTTCAATGTTTATGAGTGTCTGTGTATGCCGAGTATGAAATCTTACTTTCGATTTGCAAATTGTTTGAGCCGCGAAGAAAAAAACGTGCCTACCTTTAGCTGCAATTATTAAGACTATCCATGATATCAAAAAAAATCACTGAGGTGATTAAATTTGTGTATAACTACTCCTGTAATCCGTGGCCCTCCCACTTATCATTTTTTGCTCAATCAACACAAATGAAAAAAGTAAAATAAAAACATCTAACATTTATTCCGCCAAGGTCGTTTGCCTCATTCTGATAATCCACTGCTATTAAACCAATCAGTAAGTGAAAATATACGTGACCTAAGTCGTTATGAATAAATTTCATTGCGGGAAGTATAAACACAGTGTTAACTTGTATCCCGTAAACCCAAGAAGTAGCTTCTATCTAGCGTAAACCAGCGTGAGGAATGAATGAATATTATTTTATTTAGACTACTGTTTTCATTGGACTGCATTCATATTTTTATTAGTTACTATCGCTAAATAATACTCGTGATATTAACATTTATGCTCAAAGCTGCATACGTGATCAATAGCATTGGGGAAAATTTCAATGTAATCAGATGTAAAAATGGCTAAATATAGAGCATACGGAATGTCAGAAGACTGTAACGGATAGTAAAATGATTCGGATAACCCTTATTTTGTATCCGTTAACGGATATCCGAATAGTACATGTTAGTTTCAACACTAATGGAGAACAGCTACTAGTTTATTTTAAGGTGACGTTTCGAAGAGTATTCTATCAACGTTATTGAGCTAATACAGTAATACAGATGTGAGGCAAATGTTAAGTATGGTTTCCATTTTTGTGTAACTTGACCACAGTGGCCATGGACGCTCATTGTACATTTTATTGGTATGTTGCAGGCCTTTGATGTTGTCGTTGTCATGTATCGTTTCAGTTATGTTGTTGTATTTTGTCTATATATATTTGCCTCATATCTGTATTATTGTATTAGCTTGATAACGTTGAGAGAATACTCTTTGAAACATCGCCTTACAATACACTAGTAGCTCTCTTTTTTTGTAGAAGCGCAGAAAAATATGTTGACATATGAAAAACATAAAGAAGAGTCAAGACTTCAACATGTTTCTTATGTTGGAACAGCAGGTTTGTGCAATTATGTTTATGGTATATTTTCCTAACAAGATTACCTACTATGTATAATAATTTGTATGCATTATAACATCTGGAGACGTTCATTAAGGGCAGATATCTACCTTACATGTATGATTTGATGTATATCAGAATAAAGAAGTAAAAGAGGTGGTCTGAGAAGAACCTTAGGAGGTGGCACTTCTATGTATTGCAAGTCAAGTGTTGGAATGTAAGATACAAAAAACTGCTGTCCACCCATGTACTGTGTTAACGTGTCTGTAAAAGAACCCTTTACATTCAGAATTTGGTGAATATTCTTCTGAAATGCTGTCCTGGAAAATTTCTATTTTAACCATATGCTAATCTCAAAATCACATAATTGTTATGTTGACGGGGCCATAAACCCGTTTTTTAAAACAGTACTTTCATTGCTAAAGCATAACCATAGAGCCATGTGCTTAGTAATTTTGGAAATTGATATGGAATTTTCTAGAATCCTTATTATGTTTTATATTAAAGGTGGGGGATTTATATCTGAAAGGGAAGCAAGACAAAGAGCAGCAATGAATCAATCAAAAGCAGCTTTTGACAGTAGGGTAAGCAATATGTAGTTACTTCCCTTTAATTTGCTGCATTGTGAAATCGGTCAGTTTTATTCTGTGTAACAAGTCTATAGTATAAGCTGTCAACCCCTTTCTAATATTTATGCATAAGCAGTATCTTACCATTTATTCATTCATTTAAATACTATGATAGTGGATTTGAACAGCTTTTTTGATTATCTCAATTGATTGTACACTATACCGGACTCAATTTTAGGTAAAATCTGACTAGTTTTATCAATGCGCCCTGTTATGCTCGCTATTCAATAAGCCATTTACCATTTTGTTGTCCACGTAAATTTAATTAGATGCCTGTTGTAAATCCAATTGAATCCAAGCCGGGACATTATCTGGTGTTGGTATTTTGATTTTGTTTTCTTAATTAAATGTTAAATAATATATCTGAGTACATATTAGTGTTGATTAAGCCATGAGAAACTTGATATTTTGGGCAACAAAATATGTCAGATGTTGTGTCGAAATGATATATAATATTGATTTAGATTTGGTATTGAAAATTGTATTATTGTTGGAATAGTTTTTGTGCGGCAGCATTGAAATATATGTATATTGCCATTATCCTTGTCCTCAATTTCTTATGCGCATCACAGTTGGTGCAGAAATGTAGGACGTTAAACTCTTATTTCATTTCACTACAACTTGGGTATCATTTAGTTGTGTTGTTTTAGCAGGAGTTTGTGTATTTAATGTTTAGTTCAAACCATTGATGAAAACTGATCAAAACCATTGAGAATCATAGAAAAAGATTGGGTTTCTACTGTTGTGTAGTTTAAAGGATCTGTTTAGATAATTTTATGTGAGAACTCTACTGACTACATTTATCATTTGATCTTTTTAGAATTTATGTTGTTTACATTAGTGATCATTGATAATGCTCTAACAATAAAATTCATCATCCAAAATGTTTGAAATTTTTATGTATTATTCAGGCGCAGAATTCTCTCTAATGTTATTAAGTTTTTTACTATTTTACAGTTAAAAAGAGAATCTGTCCGTGCAGCAGCTAAACAGCAAGAGGAAGCAGTTTATGAACAGCGAAAACAAGCAGCTCGAAAACAGGTACACAACACAAAGTTTAACATCAAGACCTTTGTCATATTATCTGTTACCTTAACTGTCTTGGGTGGTTGGATGGCCAAATGGTTAACACGTGCGCGCTCTATCATAAGGTCTGTCATTGAGTCAACTGGCGTGGTTTCAATTCCCCGGTTGTACGTGACAAGGAGTAATGTCGCTTGTCCAACCTCGTGGGTTTTCTCTGGGTCCTCCGGTTTCCTCCCACTGCTAAAGACCCCTACTCGCAAGCGAATTATTGAAATAACGTTGAACCATGTGTTAGTCCCGAAATGACCTAGTTTGTGTTGAGTGGACTTAAACCCCATCTCTCTCTCTCTCTCTCTCTCTCTCTCTCTCTTAACTGTCTTGCAGACTCTCCTGCTCCATCCAGGCTAAATAAGATGGCCATAAACCATACAGTTTCCTGAAAAAGCTAATTGTCGTCAATCATTCCCCTGACTGTTTAATGTGTTGATCGTATAGATGATAACATTTTTTTTTTTTTTTTAAGGCAGAATTAAATGAGCAGAGAGAAAGAGAAAATGAAAAAAGGAGAAAAGAACGTATGAATGATGACATGAGAAGGTGATTATCAAGTCATTACTTTAAATACTCAAGTTAAAAAATTTTATTGTCATAAATCTACATGTAAATGTTTGCCTGAATTTATTGACAGAAAATCGTGTATATAGTACCCGTCTGTTGTCAGCTTCTTTGGAATGCTGTCTTCATTAGCCTAAGTCTAGTCAGTGCTATGGAGGCTAAAGATGTACAAGTATATGCTGTTCACCCTAGTATGCAAACTGGGTCGCAGTGAATTTTCCTCTGTCAAACCAGTCACTGATAGAAACAAGCCAATAAAGAGGCTGATGTCACCTGCCTTGTTCCCAAAATAAATAGGTGACATTAATTAATTAATTGCACATTTATCCTGCCATAAAGCATAGATCATTGAAATTGCTTATCACTCTGCTGAATTTGATCAGAAAATGCTTATTATCAAACTTAGTAAACTTAGTGATATAATGAAACTAACACAATATGTCACTTGATTAGAATTAAAGTTATCATCTCCCAAACCACTGACAAATCAAATTGTTTATTTCTGCTTAGCCTGAACACAAAATTGAACTCAGTCAAGATATTATTCGCTTTGTGAGCATGTACATTAAGTCTGAACATTATAAGCAGAGTTTTAGTGTTGCAAGTGATGGACAGAAAAAATTACAGACAGTGGCATGCAGAAAGTGGGTGATAGGGGCCAACGATCCCTGGGTGGGTAACCGTTTTAGGGAGCAAAATTATGTTCTTTTAAGATTTGAAATTATTGCTGTCAACACTGTTGTGCAAGCTACCCAACTTAACGTGAATAAAAAGTTTATTTTCTCCCACCTTTCGAAGAAAGCAGGGGACTATTAAAATGGGTCTGTGCGTCCGTCCGACACACATTTTGGGACACAATGACTCTAATTGAGCTTGAATTTAGCTTCTAATTAAGCTATAGTTTTCAAACTAAGTTCGATGTTGAGCATTTTCTGCTTAGACATGACAACTTTGCTTCTAATTAAGGGATGAAACTTGGTGTATAGTTTCATTACCTCAATACCTTGACTAAATTTGATAATGAATATTTTCGACTCAGGTAAAGCAGTTAAGCAGAGTGATAAGTAATTTGATTGGTCGAGACTTTGGAGCTCATCAACTCTGACTCATAGTGAGTCTCGTTGCTTTGGGACACGATAACTTTGCTTCTAATTGAGTGAGGGGTACAACTTGGCATATATTTTTACACAAATACTTTGATAACTTTGATTCTAATTGAGTGAAAATGGTGAAACTTGGGTATATTATTACATCAATACCTAAACAACTTTGGTTCTAATTGTATGACTATGGTTAAACTTGGCATATATCATTATCTCATTACCTTGACTAAGTTTGATAATGTGCATTTCCTACAGTTTCATTACATCAGTACCATGACTAAGTTCTGATCATTTTCTGCATCAATGTTTTGGGACATGATAACTTTGATTCTAATTGAGTGAAACTTTGCGTATATCATTACATCATTGAGAAAGTGTGAATATCTTGACTAAGTTCGATGATGAGCAATTTGATTTGTCAAGATTTTGGGGATCAACAGCTTTGATTATATAATTGAGTGAGAATGGTGAAACCTGCAATAGGCAGATTAACCTCTGCATAATGTATTAACTTTAAAGTGTGCCTTTAAATTATGTTTCAAAACAGATCATAATAAATTTGTAAAAAAAAAAATGAAGTAAAATAAGATTGAATAAACTACTATAATTACTAATAAAATAACCAAAAGTGCACATTCATTGAAATATGTGTTTTAATCTCAATGCTCAAAAATGACTGGTGTACTTGGAGGTCAAAACCAATTTTTTGGACGTACTGTAATGTCATCATTGCAGAGACCGAGAAGTTTGTTATAAAAGAAGTGTCCAATTGGCCCTAATTACTTGAAGAATCTTGTGGAAATTAAAGTTATTTAGAATTTTATTTCTATTTCAGGAAGAATGCTGCTTTCTTGGATCGTTTAGAAGCTGGAAATAGTTCAAGAAAGACTAATTCAGGTAAAATGATAAAAAAATAAATGTATGCATTTATTGTCTGCCTTTTTTTTACTCACTCTTAAAATGGGTATATCTTGGGGTTCAATATAACTGATGTACCATTGCTATACTCTTATATATAAAGTGGGTTTATCTTGGGGTTCAATTTAACTGACCATTGCTATTAATGAGACAAATTCACAGATTAATGAAACAAAATTTTTATCACGGTGATGGTAATTAGCCCAGTTTTAAATTTCATCTGAAATCAATAATATATTGGCATTGAAGCAACACGAAGAAAACAACATTAAGTCAACTTTTGGTCCAAAATTAAAAAGATACCTATGTTCTCATTATCACTTAGTATAATTATTATTATATCTCATTTTAATTGCATACATAACACAATTTTATTTGTACTTCCACATGCCGTGTTCATCCTTGCTAAGCTAAGTCTTTTCCGGATATATCATAGTTCCGAGATACAATTGCAAATTTCTTACAAATTTTACAGTAAGTAAAAGATGGACCCATAATTTTAATTGATTTTAATTATAACAATATTTAATTACGGTATTGCTATCCATTCTAGAGGTAATAGGCCTACTAATCAATAATTGAATTGATTAGCCAAAATTGAAAAAAGCAATTCAATGTTTTATTCTAAGAAGGGGGGGTTGGATGGGCGAATGGTTAGCACGTGCGTGCGGTATCATAAGGTCTGTCATTGAGTCAACTGGCGTGGTTTCGAATCCCCGGTTGTATGTGACAAGGAGTAGGGTCGCCTGTCCAACCTCGTGGGTTTTCTTCGGGTCCTCCGGTTTCCTCCCATTGCTAAAGACCCCTACGTGCAAGTGAATTATTGAAATAAAGAAAATTAAACCATATGTTAGTACTAAAATGACCTAGTTTGTGTCGAGTGGACGTTAAATCCCATTTCTCTCTCTCTATCTCTCTTTATTCTAAGAACTGTAGTACCATATATATATGATTGTCACCACTGTCAATCCATCCATATGTTGACCTGTCTGTTGTCAGTCTGGTCAATTATTTCATGCACAAGCAAACAGTTAAAATTCTTTTGACAGAATCTGATGAAACACCTTTAAGTTTATTGTTAAGTCATAAAGATTTTAAGTTTTCAATAAATGTTTCTGGAGTTAATGCCCTTGGTTCAAAAATTCCATTCACAATTTTTGTGCATACACAAACTTTTTATGACTCTTAAGAGTCCGGACCAAGAAGAAATATAGCAATAATAATTATCTGTTTATTTTAATATAGGTGCGGTTAATTCAAGCTCAAAATCAAGAAGAGAACCAGAACCAATGGTGGCTGTATCAAACCGTAATTATCAGAGAGATGATTTAGACAGGCTTCAAGTTATGTTTCCTGATTGTTCCAGGAATTATTTATCCGATATTATTGAACAGATGGGCTCTCTAGAACTAGCTGTCAATGTTTTGAGTTAAAATTAAAAACAATTGACATGTTTTGAAAATTATTACAGTCATCTTGAAAACAGATGGGATCTCTAGAACTAGCTGTTGATGTCTTGAGTGAAAATTAAAAACAGTTGACATGTTTTGAAAATTATTAGTCATCTGGAAAATTTTTAATCTGATTAAAATGAGATGTCAATTATTTTTTGTTTTATTCTTTTATATGGTAATTACATTAACATCTTAAATAATTTTTTTATGTCAGTATTCAGATAACAGACTTTTATTGTTTAATTAAAACCAAAGGATATATATGAGTGATTCTGAAGCATTTGTCAATAAAGAGAATTGTCATTGGTGAAGCAAAGTTCTGATGGAAATGAAATAGAGTTTAACTTCTTTCTTTTCTGCACCAACCAGACTAATGAACACTGTCACTTCTGATAGAAAGTAGGTTAGTTACGGTGTAGTATAAAAATCTTAAAAAAAACCAATTTTAATAGGGCTAGAAAATTGGAAATAAAAAAAAGCATTATTTAAAGTCGTATTTGTGGTTAAAATACAATTAACTTGTGTAACCACCACAAGAAAAAAGTCATTTGGAGCATTTTAAATGTGACTGTACATATCCAGGTTTATTTGTCGGATTTAATTAAATGTATACATGTACTATAAGTACATGTGGTCTGTTTGTGTAAAAGACTTTTTAAAAAGTACATGTGGACTATATATGTAAAATGATTTTTAAAGAGATATTGAAATAACATGCATTTTGTTTAGGTTATTTCTGGTAGATAAGTTATTGATAAAATTGATGCATACATAATATAATAATAATAATAATATAATAATAATAATTTATTGAACTTGTATAGTGCCAAAATCCAGCTTGTAAAGCCGCTCTGTGGCACTTGTACAAAATATATATATGAGTACACAATGCAAAAGAATAAGATATAAAATCATAAAAGAACAAATTTAAAACTATTTGGTAAAACAATATAATTGGATTTAAAAAAAATAAACCAGATAAAATATAGATAGAAAATCGTAACAAATTAAAATTAAACTATTTGGTAAAACAAATATATAGCAGTGTACAGGTAAAATATTAAACATTAAAATAATTGGTAATATATTGGTAATATATACATGAAATTTAGGGTGAACCCCTGTAATCTGAGGTATTATTATTATTATCATATTTATATGAGGTATGTGTCTAATTACAACAAAAATTCCTTTAAACTACTCTCGGAGAAATATATTAAAAAAATTACGTTGAAAAAAGAAATAAACACATGTTTATTTGTTGTTAGATCGATTCAACATATGTAGGTGACCAGAGTAGGTTTTTTGCCAAATTTTTCGACTTTCTATGTGTACCATGTAATATACTGTGATAATGAATGAAACAAATAAATTTCAGAAACCTAACTACCGGTAATATTTTGTTTTTTATACCCGAACATATAATGTTTGTGAACATGCTAACAACTGCTGCTATCATGTGCAATGTAGCTCTATTCTCTGCACACACTTTGTATAGCTTTATAATTATAATGGTGGTACGGTATTATTGTCCTGCCGGGGTGGGATAGGGGGAATCTGTTAAATTTGGTCTTCTGTCTTTCCGAAGCATTTAGCTACAACTTGTAATGTATTTTCATTATTACAGTCATTTGTCTCTAGGTTTGAACCTCAGCATTAAACATGTATATTTATTAGATTACTGCAATTTTTTGAAACATAATTTGCTTTCTAATTAAAGGGATTACTGCAATTTTTTGAAACATAATTTGCTTTCTAATTAAAGGGACAATAACACTCTGGCTGGCTTGACAGCTCCAGAAAATAAAAAATAGACTTATTCTAAGTACTAGATGTGTTAGTGTCTTACCTGTTGTGTAAATTATCCATTAAATCCTATTTTACTTGTCCAGAGGGTTCAAAAATATTTTTAAATCCAAGTCACATTTGAAAAGCTTTACGTCAGGCTTTTCAAATCATTTAGTTGAATTTTTCCAATTTTTTAAATTAGGTGTGTTAAGATGAAATTTATATCACCAATTAATTGGAATATTGTAAAATAGTACAATTTGTTGACCTGATTAAAGATTGGGACATATTATTCAGTTACAACAAAAGTGGTATTGAGCCTTTAATGGAGTTTGATGTTACTTTGAAAGTACTTTCATTATTACAGTCGGGGGGTTGGATGGCCCAATGGTTAGCACATCCGCGCTGTATCATAAGGTCTTTCATTGAGTCAAGTGGCGTGGTTTGATTCACCGGTTGTATGTGACAAGGAGTAGGGTCGCCTGTCCAACCTCGTGGATTTTCTCCAGGTCCTCTGGTTTCCTCCCACTGCTAAAGAACCCTACGCTCAAGCAAATTATTGAAATACAAGCAGTTGCCATGCAAGATACGCCCACATTTTGCATGAGATGGACAGAGATCAAGCTAAAAAAAAATAATGTGATTTTTATACGCCCACATTTTCATGTGGACGTATATTGTTGTCGCCCCTGTCTGTCCGGACATACATCTGTCTACAATTGTTTGTGGACACTCTACAGGTCACAATTTTTATCTGTTCTTTAAATGGCATTAAGTAACTGGATAGAGTAACAACAAAACACATACTTATGGAAAACAGCTACTAGTGTATTTAAGGCGACGTTTCGTAGAGTATTCTCTCAACGTTATCAAGCTAATGAATTTTTATTTAATTTCAACGAAACTTGAAACATAGGTTTATCTCCCTAAGATCTCAGTTCCTTTCGATATTGGGGGGGTTGGATGGCCGAATAGTTAGCACGCGCGCGCTGTATCATACAGTCTGTCATTGAGTCAACTGGCGGGGTTTCGATTCCCCGGTTGTACGTGACAAGGAGTAGGGTCGCCTGTCCAACCTCTTGGGTTTTCTCTGGGTTCTCCGGTTTTCTCCCACTGCTAAAGACCCCTATGCGCAAGCGAATTATTGAAATAAAATTGAACCATGTTATAGTCCTGGAATGACCTGATTTGTGTTGAGTGGACGTTAAACCCCATTTCTCTCTCACTCTCTCCTTTCGATATTTGCATGTATCGGACCGTAACTTCATGGATTATGGCCCCTGATTGTACGAAAAATCACGTTTTTAGCTTGTGGACCCTTTTTTTTATCTGATTTTGTTGAAATTTGAAATGTAAGTTTATAACCCAAAGATCTTGGTTCCTTTCGATTTTCCCGCATATTGGACCGTAACTTCCTGAAGTATGGCCCCTGATTGTATGAAAAAAAAACACATTTTATTAGCTTGTGGACCCTATGGAGGTCACAAATTTATTCCGATTTAAAAAAAACGTTTCAATATATCTCTGTTACACCTTAATGACGGTTGAGTTCAAATATCAAGGTTGTGGACCCTCTAGAGCTCACAATTTTGATCCGATTTTGATGGAACTTGAAATGCATGTTTATAACCCAGAGATCTTTGTTGCTGTCGATATTTGCGCGTATTATTATCGGATTGTAACTTCCTGAATTATTGGCCTTGACTGTACGAAAAATCGCAATTATAGCTTGTGGTCCTTCCTAGAGGTCACAATTATTATCCGATTAAAAAAAAAAACGTGTGAATATATCACTGTTACACCGTAATGATGGTTGAGTTCGAATTTCATGAAAATCAGACCAAAAATGGCCGCCCGTCTATGCAAGTAGTGTAAACATCTGGTATATCAAGGCTGTGGACCCTCTAGAGCTCACCATTTTGATCCGATTTTGATGGATTATTATCGGATTGTAACTTCCTGAATTATTGCCCTTGACTGTACGAAAAATCGCGTATCGGATTGTAACTTCCTGAATTATGACCCTTGACTGTAAGAAAAATCGCGTGTATAGCTTGTGGTCCCTCTAGAGGTCACGATTGTTATCCGATTTAAAAAAAAACGTGTGAATATATGACCGTTACATTGTAATGATGGTTGAGTTCGAATTTCATGAAAATCGTACCAAAACTGCCAGACAAAATGGCTGCCCGTCTAAGCAAGTAGTGTAAACATCTGGTATATCAAGGTTGTGGACCCTCTAGAGCTCACACTTTTGATCCTATTTTGATGAAATTGGAATACATGTTTATACCCCAAAGATCTTGTTTCTTTTCGATATTTGCGCATATCGGATTGTAACTTCCTGAATTATGACCCTTGACTGTATGAAAAATCGCGTGTATAGCTTGTGGTCCCTCTAGAGGTCACAATTATTATCCGATTTAAAAAACTGTGAATATATGACCGTTACATCGTAATGATGGTTGAGTTCGACCATATCGGACCAAAACTGCCAGACAAAATGGCCGCTGTCTACGCAAATAGTGTAAACATCTGGTATCAAGGTTGTGGACCCTCTAGAGCTCATAATTTTGATCCGATTTTGATCAAACTTGAAATGCATGTTTATAACCCAAAGATCTTGTTTCTTTTCGATACTTGCGCATATCGGACCGTAACTTCCTGAATTATGGCCCCTGATTGTACGAAAAGTCACGTTTTTTAGCTTGTGGACCCAATGGAGGTACAAATTTTATTCCGATTTAAAAAACGTTTGAATATATCACCGTTACACCTTAACGACGGTTGAGTTCGTATTTCGTGATCCGATTTTGATGAAACTTGAAATACGGTTATAACCTAGAGATCTAGGTTCCTTTCAATATTCGCGCACATCGGTTCGTAACTTCCTGAAATATGGCCCTTGGTGTATGAAAAATCACAATTTTTGTCCGATTTGTGTCAACTATAAATAAGTAGAACGAAACAGTAGAACTCAAACAACTTTATCTATCAAGAAGCAATTCTACCAAGAAAAAAAACACACGAAGCAGGCCTGTAGCCAGAGGGGCAGTGAAGTTTTTAGGAGGGGGGCACAACGCGGCACAGTCTACAGTAGGTATTTTAGAGCTATGGTCGGCAAAAAAAATTTTTGTTTTCGGGGGGGGGGGGGGGGGCTACTGGCTACGGGTCTGACGCGAAGTATGAGCAAAAAACACACAACATGTGGCCACGTCGAAGTTGACGCTCGGAATGAAACTGGATGACCGCGTCTTCTCACATGGTTTTGCAGTGACGTAACTATGATGATGTAGGCTAGAATAATGGTCGAGTTCGAATTTCGTAAAAATCAGACTAAAACTGCCGGACAAAATGGCCACCCCCCCCGTACGCAATTAGCGTAACTATATGGTATATATATATATATGGACCCCCATTGAGGCCACAATTTTGATCTGATTTTGTTGAAACTTGAAATATATGTTTGCATCACAAAGATCTCGGTCCCTTTCGATAATTGCGCATATCTGAACTTATTCTCCTGGATTAGGCTATGGCCCCTGATTGTTCTAAAAATCGCATTTTTAGCTTGTGGACCCGCTAGAAGTTACAAATTGTATTCAGTTTTAAAAAAACGTTTAAATATACTATTCAAAAAAAGTAGGGGATATTTGATTTTGGGGGCATAATACTAAAATATGCAAATGACTACGAAAAAAGTCACTATAGAACCTAACAGAAGAAACATTTCCAGTTACATGTGACGCCCAAACGCACCAATAGCTACCGCATGGAATGCAGGTGATGCTTGGGATCATCATGGGGGTCCAACCCAAGATTTGCACGACTCTGACTTTGAATGTTACAGTCATTGTGGCATTGAATTCCAGGGTGGAAACATCAGTTTAATTGTTTTAGTGACCAGAAAACAAATTTTGATATGCGTCGGCAACCCAAAATGAAAGGTTACGTGCCCTTGGCATGCTACAGATCGGCACAACACAGGTGGTTGTGGCGCGGACGATGAATGTTTCTCAGTCTGTCATAAGCAGGCTATGGTCCAGATACCGTGATACACAATCTGTACAGGACAGACCACGCTCAGGTCGACCAAGGGCGACAACTCAAGCCCAGGATCGATTTATCCGTACCTTGGCCTTGAGAAATCGTGTCATCACAGCAAATGAGATCAGCTCTCGTCTTCAAACAGACACTGGTGTGAGAGTGAGTGGCCAGACGATTCGGAATCGACTGCATAGGGGTCACCTTCGCGCCCGACGTCCTCGCGTGATCCCTTGTTTGAGAGATCATCACATTCAGGCAAGACGTCGTTGGTGTAGGGATCGTCAACACTGGGATAATCGACGCTGGAGCAATGTGATGTTTTCAGATGAGTCAGGGTTCACTGTTGATTTTTTGGACAGACGTAGGAGGGTGTGGCGTCGTCGAAACGAGCGCTTCCAAGACGTTAACCTCATCAGACATGATCGATTTGGGGGTGGTTCTGTTATGGTTTGGGGAGGCATCACAGTTGCTGGAAGAACGGCTTTACATGTTGTTGCAGGGCGTGTTACAGGCCAGTACTACCGGGACAACATCTTGGCAGTCCATGTTGTGCCGTTCGCACGACGTCATGGCCGCCGTTTCATCTTCCAGGATGACAACGCAAGATGTCACAGGGCCAGGATCGTTACAGGTTACCTCCAACAACAGAACATCACCACATTACCTTGGCCAGCACTGAGTCCCGACCTCTCCCCCATCGAGCATGTCTGGGACATGCTTGGACAGAGGTTACGTCAACGTCAACAACGTCCTGCCAATGTCCAAGAACTTGCTGCTGCGTTGCAACAGGAATGGGACAATCTGGACCAAAATGACCTTAGACGTCTCATTAGGAGTATGCCACGTCGGATCAATGCTTGTTTGGCAAACAGAGGAGGATTTACCCGTTACTGACTTGGTTGTGATGCTGTGGTAACTTTGCTGTTTGACCCCGGGTATCATTTTACCCTTATAATGGTCAGTCTGTGCCTTACTTAGTCTAACGATCATTTGGAATAAATCGATGAATGTGAACTTCATTTCATTTTGTCATTTGTTTCTTCGTCAGTTTCATTAGGTGACTTTAATAACACTTAAAAATCAAATATCCCCTACTTTTTTTGAATAGTATATATCACTGTTAAAGATCAATGAAGGTTGAGTACAAATTTGCAAAATGTGGGCGTATCTGCCCATAATCTGGTAATAAAACTTGGAAATATAGTAAATTATAGTAAACTATAGGCCTTTTGATCACACTTTCGCCCCCAAAACCGATAATTGTTTACTTTTCATTATTTTTCTTATGCCAAGTCATCCTCCCGCTAACTTGGTGTGGCCCGTTCGTTCGTTCGTTCCTGGAGTTTTACGTCCACTTCCACCAAGGGTGAAGTGGCGTAGACTAGATTGGTGTGGTCCAGTGTCAATATAATTATAGTTATAAAAGGACACGTGGTAAGGGGGGATAACTGATTACAAAGGTAGATAACTCCAGTATATATTTATTTTTATATGATAATAATATTATTGGGAATAGGCGAATCGCATATTCGTAGCATATGGGCATAGAATACAAAAGGGAACATTTGAGAATTAGTAGAGTTATGAAACACTGCAAATTTTCTCTTCTAGACATAAGTATTAGGTAACATGATTTGCGTTGAGGGGAGATAACTCCAGCATTGAAATTTTTTGACGACACCATTCTTCTTGTTGACTTTATTTTGTGAAATTGGTTAGTAAATTTTCTTCTTGAAGTAAATTGAAGTTGGACATGCAAAAGATTCCAGGGGTAAATATACAGTTATTCAACCGTTGCTTTGAAATGTTAGTTTTGAACTGGTTAAAATAACGGAAAATTATAATCTCATCGGCTTTTATTTCTTTGTTTCAGACTATTCAGAGATAAATTGATTTGCCGTTCGATTGGATTTCAAGACCACGGTCACCAGGTTATCGACAGGCGGTGTGTTGTTGTATTTTCCTAAATGGCAGATGAGAGTTCGCCGACTCAGAGACAAAAGAAAGGCAGATTAATTTTAAGTAAATTTACAGTTATAAATCTTTCTAGTTATCGTACGGTACCTTAGATTTACACACACGTGACACACATTATATACATTAACATAGAAAACACAATTTCGAACAATTCTAAAAATACCTGCTAAATACAAAAATGTATTCAAGTCAAGGTTACTTCTAATCCACTTCCGAGAATTAAGATTCTTTCTAATAATGCAACCACAGAAAAAATTAAAAGAAAACAATCCTGCAGATCCTGAAATTGTCTTTTATATTGTAAGCACTATGCCACTACTCACTAGTATGACTTGATCGCCAGTTTAAAGGGAGCAGGGCTTTTCATTCAGTTTGACGGGAGCAGGGCTTTTCATTCAGTTTGACGGGAGCAGGGCTTTTCATCCCAACGATAAGTTAAATGTACAACCCTGTTAAACATACATTATGCAAGAACTAAAGCTGCCTATTGCAGGCCTTTCCTTAGGCCTGAAATGTTATCTACATTATTAATTAGACATTAATTAACTTAAAAAGACCATAATTAGAGGCTAAAGTTAATATCCGATTGACTTTAAATTTATACACAGTGTTTAAGGTCATGAGACAAAGAAGCCTATTGATTTTCAGCGATTTCCGATAATTACTGCCAGAGTTATGGGCCTTGATCACTTTGAAAAATCTTGTGGACACTCTAGAGGCTAAAGTTAATATCCGATTAACTTTAAATTTATACACAGTGTTTAAGGTCATGAGACGAAGAAGCCTATTGATTTTCAGCGATTTCCGATAATTACTGCCAGAGTTTTGGCCCTTGATCACTTTGAAAAATCTTGTGGACGCTCTAGAGGCTAAAGTTAATATCCGATTGACTTTCAATTTATACACAGTGTTTAAGGTCATGAGACGAAGAAGCCTATTGATTTTCAGCGAATTCTGATAATTACTGCCAGAGTTATGGCCCTTGATCACCTCAAAAAATCTTGTTGACGCTCTAGAGGTCAAAGTTAATATCCGATTAACTTAAACATTATACACAGTGTTTAAGGTCATTAGACGAGGAAGCTTATTGATTTTCAACAATTTCAGATAATTACTGCCAGAGTTATGACCCTTGATCACTTTGAAAAATCTTGTGACGCTCTAGAGGCTAAAGTTATCATTCAATCGCTAAATGCCACTCAAGGATTATATACTATTCAAAAAAAGTAGGGGATATTTGATTTTTAAGTGTTATTAAAGTCACCTAATGAAACTGACGAAGAAACAAATGACAAAATGAAATGAAGTTCACATTCATCGATTTATTCCAAATGATCGTTAGACTAAGTAAGGCACAGACTGACCATTATAAGGGTAAAATGATACCCGGGGTCAAACAGCAAAGTTACCACAGCATCACAACCAAGTCAGTAACGGGTAAATCCTCCTCTGTTTGCCAAACAAGCATTGGTCCGACGTGGCATACTCCTAATGAGACGTCTAAGGTCATTTTGGTCCAGATTGTCCCATTCCTGTTGCAACGCAGCAGCAAGTTCTTGGACATTGGCAGGACGTTGTTGACGTTGACGTAACCTCTGTCCAAGCATGTCCCAGACATGCTCGATGGGGGAGAGGTCGGGACTCAGTGCTGGCCAAGGTAATGTGGTGATGTTCTGTTGTTGGAGGTAACCTGTAACGATCATGGCCCTGTGACATCTTGTGTTGTAATCCTGGAAGATGAAACGGCGGCCATGACGTCGTGCGAACGGCACAACATGGACTGCCAAGATGTTGTCCCGGTAGTACTGGCCTGTAACACGCCCTGCAACAACATGTAAAGCCGTTCTTCCAGCAACAGTGATGCCTCCCCACACCATAACAGAACCACCCCCAAATCGATCATGTCTGATGACGTTAACGTCTTGGAAGCGCTCGTTTCGACGACGCCACACCCTCCTACGTCTGTCCAAAAAATCAACAGTGAACCTTGACTCATCTGAAAACATCACATTGCTCCAGCGTCGATTATCCCAGTGTTGACGATCCCTACACCAACGACGTCTTGCCTGAATGTGATGATCTCTCAAACAAGGGATCACGCGAGGACGTCAGGCGCGAAGGTGACCCCTATGCAGTCGATTCCGAATCGTCTGGCCACTCACTCTCACACCAGTGTCTGTTTGAAGACGAGCGCTGATCTGATTTGCTGTGATGACACGATTTCTCAAGGCCAAGGTACGGATAAATCGATCCTGGGCTTGAGTTGTCGCCCTTGGTCGACCTGAGCGTGGTCTGTCCTGTACAGATTGTGTATCACGGTATCTGGACCATAGCCTGCTTATGACAGACTGAGAAACATTCATCGTCCGCGCCACAACTGCCTGTGTTGTGCCGATCTGTAGCATGCCAAGGGCACGTAACCTTTCATTTTGGGTAAGCCGACGCATATCAAAATTTGTTTTCTGGTCACTAAAACAATTAAACTGATGTTTCGACCCTGGAATTCAATGCCACAATGACTGTAACATTCAAAGTCAGAGTCGTGCAAATCTTGGGTTGGACCCCCATGATGATCCCAAGCATCACCTGCATTCCATGCGGTAGCTATTGGTACGTTTGGGCGTCACATGTAACTGGAAATGTTTCTTCTGTTAGGTTCTATAGTGACTTTTTTCGTAGTCATTTGCATATTTTAGTATTATGCCCCCAAAATCAAATATCCCCTACTTTTTTTGAATAGTATATATTGATTTTCAATGAATCTTGAACAGCTAAATCCATGATGTTAAAAGTTTTGTATACTAAACGTTAGCATGGAACAGAACTTTATAAAAAACAAACAAATTCTAATGGTTCTCTGATAATTACTTCATGAGTTGTTACTCTTAATCAGATTTTAATGTATTATAAATGTTTCATTACCGAAAAAAGTAAAAATATGCGACAATTCTTGTTGAATGCCCGGACGATATAGCTGCTGTGGGCGTATGTTTCGTTGCCTGGCAACCTATCTTAAACTATTATAGTGAGAACTGTCAGTTCTTTATCTAATTAATTAACTGCTATTACAATAACAAAGGGGATGAAACAGCCTGGGATAAGATAGCCCTATCAACAGGCCTGAAAATAACAGTTTTACATGTACCTGACAAAATAGTCAGTACCTTAAAGATACATTATTGGAGATTCGATAACGAGTTGGCAGTTCTCACTATAATAGTTAAAAACTAGATAATGTAAAGGCAATTTGCTGAAAATTTCATTCAAATTGATCCACTATGAACCGAGAACAAAGCGGTTGAAATTTCCACATAGACTTGATCATCATTACTAAAGTCTGTACCATAAACAGCATAGTCTCGATTATCCATTTAATCGTTAAATCGTGAAGGAAAGTTATGCAGTAAATCGGCTAATATTCCACTAAAGATCGCAAGCTAGCGATGCCATCTAAAGTTGATTATGGTCTGGATAGGTTAATTAATGTCTAATTAATAATTTAGATAACATTTCAGTCCTAAAAAAAGACCTGCAATAGACAGATTTATCTCTTGCATAATGTATGTTTAAAAATAGTACCTGACCTTTTCAACTTAGTGCAGGATATGACAGGCACAAAATGACAGGCACCAGTACAAAGCCTGAATCTGTGCCTGACATTGTCAGTGACAGGTGCCTTATTTCCAGGTTTGCCTATCAAAAACCAGGTTGGGATGAAACAGCCCAGCGTATCGGTTTTGGGATGAAACGACCCACACCCAGTTTGGTTTGGTTGCTTGTGCATGGGGAAGCCAGATCTTATGGAAACTGATTTAAAACAGCCAAGATGTTTTTTTATTTTGTTTGCATCACGTTTCATTTTTATCAAACATCCTGAGCAAGCTGGAGAGTTTGCAAAAACACAAAATGTTTATTACAGTATTTGAACGGTAGCCCGATTGACCCAAATTCACCTAAATCCACCCAAATCCACAATTATTTCTACCCATACCACGATAATATATATCACTATTTGATATATACATGTACCATTCTTAATACCAAATTGTCATTTTTAATTTTAAAGAGTTTTGTGTCAAAATTACCCTCAAAATCCAATTTCCAAGCAAGGGATTTCGTGTAGGTATACACCAGTTACAACATTGTCAATTAAAACTGACAATTTTGCATAAAGAATGGTACTATATTATCAAATATTGATATATATCAGGGGCGGATCTAGGAATTCTGAAAAGGGGGGGCGCCGCAAAATGAGGGCACTGACCGCGGAGACGCGGCACGCCGCTGAGATATGGGGGGGGGGGGTCCCCAAGAAAATTATCCGTCATTTCCTGCATCTGTAGCAATTCCAAGAGCTATTTGGCTGATATTTTCGTCTAAGTAAACGTTTGGAAATCGTTGAAAAAGAGCCTTAAAATCGAGCAAAAAAGCCAGTTGAACACGCGACTCGAAAATTGTCAAGGCGAGCGAGGCATTATGATGGGAAAAAAGACGAATCTATTCCCTAGCCACTTCACTATTTAAGCCTTGTAACTTTTACTGTCCACACATGAAACAATGCTACATCAAGTTGCACTAATGCGCGTCGGTGATGGGCATGAGTGTATAGTAGTATATGCCGCCGATTCCACAAGATGCTATCATTGATGTCTGTCTATAGTCATTCTATAGGGCACCGCCAGCTAAACAACAAGAATTTGTTTGAAAGTGGAAGCATTAATTAGACCAGACTGGTGTGTTTGAGTCGATGGTTTGAGTCATTTGTGATCCCTGCAACGGGTTGGGAACGGACATTTTGGGTCTGAGAAAAGGCACTTTCAGCAATAAAAAAGGGCACTGTCGAAAATTAGGGGGTTTTGAGGAGCCTTTTTGACACAAAAAAACTGTTACTATTTTAAATTAAAAATGACAATTTGGTATAAAGAATGGTATATTATCAAATATTGATATAAATTATTGTAATACGAGTTGAAATAATGGTGGATTTGAATAAGTCTTGGATTTGGGGACTATTAAAATGTGTCCATTTGTCTGTCCGTTCGTCACACTTTTTGGGACACAACAACTCTACTTCTAATTGAGCTAGAATGTTCAAACTTGGTGTAGGTGTTTATTACGTGAATACTTTTATGTAGTTCAAAGATAAGCATTTTCTGCTTAGGTAAGCAGAGAGAAGCAACTTCATTGGTTGATGCTTTGGGACATGATAACTTTAGTTCTAATTAAGTGAGAGTGTTGAAACTTGGTGTATAGTTTCATTACATCAATACTTTGACTAAGTTCGTTAATGAGCATTTTCTGCTCAGGAGAAGTAGACTGATAAGCAATTTCATTGGTCGAGACTTTGGAATACAATAACTCTCCTTCTAATTGCGGTAGAATGTTCAAACTTGATGAAGGCACAATTTGATTAAAATACAGATCTGTATTTCGTTTTATTTTTTATACTTTCGATGGCCTACACTACATGAAGATCTGACCGGTTGTAGTGGAAGGTCGTGTCAGAGGTCATATGAGCGGCTTTTGACCCTATGATGACGTCAGACATTTGATTAACCAATCAGCGTTAATGTTTCTAGTGGGTTACCTACAGTTCCGTGCACCTCACACCAAAAACTCGCCTTAACACCAAAAACGGTGTAAAAATTCAACTCAAAAGTATTTTAAAATCATTGTTCATTATTTATCTTCAAACGAAATTTTGTGATTTTGGGTTAATTCTTTGACTTTGAATACGTCCACAACAAGTTTTAAAATACAACAATTCGGACGTAAAAAGTAAATATCTACTTCAGTATGGCGGTATATTAGATTCAAAATTCTAACATGCTATCGTCTAATTTCTAAATGTAATTTCTAACTTCTTTTCATGTAATTTCTAAATTAAGACATGTACAATCCAACTTCTTTATTTGTTCAGTGTAAATTTTAATTCTGTTTCATCTTATTTCTATTATTAAGACGAAAAATGTCTACTTCATTGACATTGTCCCTTTACATGTTAATCATGAACGTCGATCAAATTTACAATTTTGATACATCTACCTAGCAACCATCATCATGACGTCATTTGGTGTTAGTCCTGAAATGACCTAGTTTGTGTAGATGAGCAATTTCTGCTTAGGGTATGCAGAGATAAGCAATTAAGTGAGATTGATACCTTGACTAAGTTCGATAATGAGCATTTTCTGTTCAGGGTAAGCAGAGCAATAAGCAATTTGATTGGGCGAGACTTTGGAACACCATAACTCTCTTTCTAATTGAGTTAGAATGTTCAAACTTGGTGTGGGTGTTTATTAGGTCAATGCCACATGTGATGGAGTTTAAAGATGAGAATTTTCTGCTTAGGCTAAGGAGAGATAAGCATTTTCTGCTTAGGCTAAGGAGAGATAAGCAATTTGGTTGCTCAAGACTTTGGAACATAATAACTCTGCTTTTAATTGAGGTAAAATGTTTAAACTTGATCTAGATGTTCATTAGGTAAATGTCTTGACGGAGTTCAATTATTAACATTTCGAGCTAAAGCTAAGCAGAGCTAAACAATGTCATTGGTCAATGCTTTAGGACAAGAAAACTTTGATTCTATCTGTATAGTTGATAATCAGTTTGATTGCTTGATACTTTTGAAAAAAATAAATGTGTGATTAATTAATATGTATCTTCTATTTATTTTGTGATTTCGGCGGTGGACATCAGCCTCACTGTTGGCTTGTTAGGTCTGTTAGGTACTTCATAGACCTCTTATTAAGGAACGACAAAATTTCCAATGTTGAATGTTTATGAAAAGAATGTTTTAGTTCTTTATATCTGTAATGGTACCCAGTGTTGTCTTTGTCAAATCGAGGGGGCAAGTGCATATACGCCCACATGTATATATATATATTAAAGTAAATAAAGTACAAGTACTTCTTTGTTTACGGTAGATAAATGCATAAATAAATTAAAAAATCCATCCAGATATATATATATACATTACCTGTGTCATTCCGTTGTGCACAATTTCTTGTGAACACTTTACCGACTACATTAATCATCTGATCTTTTCAAAATTTATGTTAATTACTTCTAGAGTTATGGTCCCTGTAACATTTTCTGGAACCCTGTGAAAGCTTTAACCAGAATTGTTATCACCAAATCTATATGAAATTTATATGCGTTATTTAATAAAAATAATAATAATAATGTTATTTTCAAATGGTTGAAAATTAGGTCGGGAGGCCTGTCTTACATTTTGCCCTTTATAACAGAAGTTAAAGAAGTTAACAATAAAATTTGAATATAGAAGAGAAATATTTACAAAAGAATATTAACAAAATCACAACTGAATATAATAAATCACCACATAATAAAGTTGTCACACACCAATCATATAATTATCATCTAATAATATGCTTAAGGTACATGTAAATAGAACAAACTAATTAATGAAAATGGCCATAAATACATGTATTTCTTCTGACCTCTCCCAATTTATGTACTACTACCAAGAGTACTAGACTAGGTATCTACGTAGTTACAAATTTAAATACTCGCCTTCGAAATGAATAATATGATTTACAATATTTTAAATAGTCGGGTAATGAATTCCATAAATGGGCACCAGTGAATCTAATACTATTTTTAACAACAGATAGATTAGGCCGAAGAATGAAGATTTTGTTATTGATTCTAGAGTATGGAGTATTGTACTGCTTAGCAATTAGTGAAGTAAAGAAACCTATTGAATCTCAGAAATGATATTATAAAGATATTATAAATCATTTATGTATGACTTTATATTGAGATATTGCAATTTTTTGCAGCTCTTTTTTGGCTACAATACTTGTATTTACATATTAATTTCAGGTAATTACACCAGCAACATGAATGCTGATTTGCGCAAAATGGTTACTGATGCAGAAGCACCATATGCTCAGTGTGAGATCCACGATGCTGAAATGATGGAGAAAAACATTGCCTGCATCGTATGTCAGAAATTAGTCTGTGCTCTATGTTTACGGGATTTTCATCTTAGTCATGAAATTATGAGCGTGATCAAATTACGAGAACTGAAACAACTGGGGGTAAATTATTTTTTCTTCAGCACTTGTACGTACAGTAGATAATTAAAGAACAGCATTTTCATTGTATGCCTGTTCAAATTAAAAGATTGTATCCTTAACCAGTTTTCTAGAAGAACTCTTTAAGTATGAGTTTTCTATAAGAGCTCTTATTATAGCAGTAGGCAAGCCTGGAAATAATAGTTTTAGTTGTACCTGACACACTAGAACCTTACATTTTGTACTTTGGACCAAACATGTACCATACTAAAAATCAGTAAAAGAACTAAAATAGACAAATCACCCGTGGGATTTTGCCTGACAAAACCTGAATTTGTGTCTGGCAAGCTGTGATAGATGCCTTATTTCCACTTGAGTTGGCCTTTAAAAATATGTCAGTAGACCCTATGGAATCCTGTGCTCTTATTGGCTGTGCTTTATACGTTTCCTGTAGATTTTGAAATTTGAAGAAATAATTATATTTCAGGTCAAGTAAGGGGTGGGCTATTCTTTTATATGGTACTCAAAATTGAGGTTCACCAGTGTACACAGAAATGAACCCTTGATAATTTGAATTTGATGAAGATTACTGTAAAACATGAAATTATTGCGAGCATGAAATTATTGCGAAAATTGCGAGCGAGGCCCTCTCGCAATAATTTCATGTTCGCAATAATTTCGTGAAAATTCGTTAAAATGTCGGCCATATTGAATTACTCCCCCTTCATTACTCTTCACAAGAAAGAGTTCTAATAAGTACATTAGAATCTGTATGAGCAGCCACTCCTATTCAGCGACATCTCCTTGTAAAGGGTCACGATAAATTCCCCCCCTAAAAATTCTGTTGTTTCATCTCTTTATTCAGCGGTCACTATTTTACAAATAAATTTAACAAAACATCGCCCATTCAACGACCATTGTTGAATGTTACCATCTTGTCGTTCTTTGTAACACCCCCACTAATCCCGTGAGTAGTAGTTAATTAACTGGACCCCCACTGATCAGGTAGAAAGAAATGTAACCCAGGATGATCTATTAATTAATCTTTTGTTTTATTAAACAACTAACCTGGTCATTGTTTTCACGCGTAACCACACATTATTTGATACTGATTGAATAAAATAAAAGTACCGAAGTTTTGTCACGATCATCTAGTATCTCTTTTCCATTGCCACTTTATTGTTAAACAGACGCTTTAGTGCCTCCTATAATATTACATACAGAGTTACACCGATCAACCGATGTTTTGAAGATTTTATAGACAAATTTACTAAAAAAAAATTATTTAAATTCGCAATAATTTCATGTCGCAATAATTTTTTCCCCATTATAGAAATTCGCAATAATTTCATGTCGCAATTATGTTTCACCACCCCAACTCGCAATAATTTCATGTCGCAATAATTTCATGTTTTACAGTAGTTTATATAAGCAAGAATTGTAAATTCAGGAAATCTTTCAGTTTTAAATTGAGTTAATTGTTTTATTTATTTTGTATTGCTTAAGCAGGGCTCAATAGAATCAGATGTGAATACCTTGCAGTCCTGTCAATTACATATACAGACACAGTTAACACAACGTTCAGAGGTTCTAGAGAAGATAGAGGTAGGATTTCACTTTGGATGTTCTGCACAGTCAACTACTGTTCAGACAGACCAAGCATTTTGCTTGTGTCTGAAAATTGCTAGGGAATTGTTTTGTCATTCAGTTTTTGGAAAAAATTTGTCATCCACTCTTTTATTGATAAGACACAGATTTATGATTTGGAAATAGAACTTGATTGAGACTCTGGTTTGATAGCTAAATATAGTTGTGTGTCGTTGACATAACAGTGATAACTGATAGTCCAGATTATGGTATCTGATAATATTAGCTAACGGTGTAGTATTGGCTTTAAAAAGAAGTGTGCCTAATACCGATCCTTGTGGCACTCCAAACTGTAGATTAACTGGATTTGACTTAGCTTTGTTAATAACAACTTGCTGTTTTCTGTTATTTAGGTATGACGCGAACCAATTAAATGCACATCCTTGCATTTGAAATCGCTTTTCAATCTTTTCAGTAATACATTTTGATTAATGGTGTCAAATACAGCAATAAGGTCGAAAAGAATCAATACAACAGCGTCTTTATCATCTAATTTACATAGAGTGTCATTATAGACTCGAAGGGCCATTTCTGTACTGTGACTATTTCTATATGCTGATTCAAAAAGTTCATTTAAATTTAAACAAGTTAAATCCAGGGGGTTTCAAAATCATTCATAATGATGCATAATTTTCCTTATTTGTAAATTTTTACCTTTAGTATGTAAGCTAACCTTTCATGTTATGTATCTAAGTCCGTGCCCTCATCATTCCTATGATGTCATAACTGACTTACAGTCATTTTGTATTTAGTTCTTCATCCCTGAAGAAGTTAGTATTTTTACTAATGAACCGTTGGATGAAACGATGGGTTTTTTTTTATATTGTATTCTATTAATTATTGTAAATCACATTTTCATGTGGTCCTATATTGTCATCGCCCCTCTCCGTCCATCCACAATTTGTTTGTGGACTCTTTACAGATCACAAATTTTATCCGATTTTGATGAAACTTGAAATATAGGTTTATATCTGAAAGATCTCATTTCCTTTCGACATTGGCATGTACTGGACCATAATTTCATGGATTATGGGCCCTGATTGTATGAAAAATCACGGTTTTTTTTTATATGCCCAAAGATCTCGGTTCCTATCGGAATTGGCATGTATTGGACTGTATAACTTCATGGATTATGACCCTTGATTTTACGAAAAATCACATTTTTAGCTTGTGGACACTCTAGAGGTCACAATTTTTATCCGATTTTGATGAAACTTGAAATTTATGTTTATGACCTAAAGATCTCAGTTCCTATCACTATTCACACATATCACACTGTAACATCCTGGATTATGGCCCCTTATTTTATGAAAAATCAGGTGCTATAGGTCACATTTTTTATCCGATTTAAAAATAAAAATATGTTTAAATATATCACCTTTACACCATAATGAAAATCGAACCAAAACTGCCAGACAAAATGGCTGCTCCCCGTATGCAAATTGTGTAAAAGGTTGTGGAGTGTGGATCTTTTAGAGGTCACAATTATTATCCGAATTTGATGAAACTTAAATTATATTTTTATATCCCAAAGATCTGGGTTCCTGATACTGATACTTGTGTGACCGATACAAACCCTGTCCAAGAAACACTGCCTTTTCAGTCAAATGCCCACACTTTGGTGTATATACAAGAATTGAAGTTCTGTTGGCTTTGTCTAGAAGATGAAATGAAAATTCTCTACTGATATGACTGGCAAGACATGATGAAGTTGAAATAATTATGAGTTTTGGAATGATAGTAGGCTGGGCATTTTACCGACTTTACTTTCTTTTGAAACGTATGCACAAGGTGTAAAAATCAATAAAAGCATTGTGAATTGTGTCAAGAAGTGGTCACACATGCAGTCTGTAATTGCGTAGTCAGCAACAATCAGTGTCAGCAGTATGAGAAGCTGACAAGTGTGTACTGTTTTCAATATTTTTTTTTGATTTTTCTTTTTCAGAAATCAAAAGAATCTTTAATATCAAATATAGATAAAGCCTTTGAACAGCTCCACGAAATACTAAAAAGTGAGTAAGAAACGCAGTTGATTGTTTATTCCACTACATCTTGATCAGACTTATGACCACTTATTCATAGTAGGATGTTAAACCCTATTTCATTTCATTTGACACTTGGTCATTGAACTTTCAACCACATGAGTACAAATCCATCTCTCTAACCATTGTGCAAATTATGTCCCCAAATACCAGATGGGTACAATCATTTTTCCAATTTACTGCATGGAAACTCTTCCCTTACAGCAAGAACAAGGTAAACAAGAGGCACTGGTTTTTATGGACAATAATTCGTTGTACTGGATGCAGATACAGTTTGAGCAGAAATGATAAAAATGTCTTTTTTAATCCCAAATGATGAGACATTAAACATTATTCCAGACAGGTTATGATTTGATTGGTTTATTTCAGATAAACACGAGGATGTGTTACAATATATAATGGTGTATTATAATCGTAGCCATGAAGTTATCAAGAACGATATAGATATACTGAGTGAACGTTATAAAGAGGGGTCAGCCATGATTAAAAGAGTTCTCTCGTTCTTCAATAAATTACATGTAATGTTAAAAGAATCTCCTGACCTGCCAAAAGAGTAAGTTTAGAATCATTACATTCACCATACTCCTCGTTTGATACGTAAATCCAATCAAATACTGCTGGACTGAATGACAATTTCTGTCCTAAATTATGACTGGTTAACAGTCAGGTTAACAACCAATCCATTACAGGATAACAAATGAGTCAGGATTAACAAAAACTCTAAATATGTTAATGTAAAAGTGTATGATGATAGTTGCAGCTACATTACGTCCTGATATTTATTGACAAATTATCTTAGTAAACATCCTAATCCACCTGTTTTCAGATTGAAGAAAATGTCTGAAAGTTTGACTGGTTTACCTCCAGTAGGAAATGTAGAACAAATGATGGTAGACGTCAAGTTTGATAAAATACTTCCGTCTTTACAGGCTATATCTAATATATGTCAAAGTATACATCCAGAAGGTAGGTATTTCTATGTTGTTACCTTTAAAACCTATAGTTAATATTTAAAGCCAAATATAGGTATTTAGAGCTTGATAGTCTTGAAATTTCCTCAGCCCTCAAAATAAATATTGTAAAATGGAGTGTTCTCCCTTGGACTTTCTCTTACGTTGGACATAATTGTCAATAATCATTAATTTCAATTTCATCAATACATACAAAATAGATAGCACATTAAATTTCTGGTAAAAAGTGGCTATTATGAAGTTATTTTGCAATTTACAACTTCATCAGTTTGATTTCCTATACCAAACAAACCCACAAATTGACCTACCAACAAAATATTACTCATACACTCATAAAAAAAACAAAAAACTTTTAACTGGGTTAAGTGATCTTTTATGTGCATGCCAATGTGTAGAGGTTTTTCGTCCCATCCAAACTGCTAAGCAAAATTTCCATATGCAGCCCCACAAGCACAAACCCTGACATGTGAAGGTCATTCTCTTTTGTCTAGTTGCTTAGGACTAACATAAAGGGGTCTAAAAATAGTCTTTCACATCAAAATAGTCAGTTCTTTTTACTGAAATGTATCCATGATTTCTCCTTTGATAAATTGAATATATTTCAGCAACCAAAATATGCTGGTCTCGCGTAACTCCTGCTAAAACTGAACCACAAAGTCCGACAGAAGCGGAGAGTACATTAATGAAGCCCCAATCAGTCAGAGTTTCTGCTCGTAATCTAGCCAAGAAATGCAACACAGCCCAATCCACTTGCACATCAACGACTGAATCACCAACTGAAAAAAAGAAAGGATCTGAAACAAAAAAATTATCCTCAGTTGCCAAAAAAAATTCACCTAGTACAAAAATATCATTAACTGAAAAATCATCAATTGATAAACCCTCTGTTAAAAAACCAACCACGGATGAATTGTCAAGCGATCAGCTAGAAACTGAATCAGGTAAGTAACAAGTGTTTATAAATATATTTATTGAAAATTTAAAATGATTGCTCATTGGGTCAAAAACCGAAGTGAATTGGACAGATATTATGAGTTGATATATCTAAATGGACCTCACACTTTGCAAGACAAAAGCCCTTTCCAATGGTTGTATTTTTAGGATATTTTGCTTTGTGAATAGCACCTTTTGTATGAACTATGCCCAGATGTAGAGCGGGAGCCCAAGGGGTTAACCTAGCTGAAAAGTGTACCAATTTTCTCCTATATCATAAATATAAATAGACTTTTCGGTAAAATTGATGAAGTAAGGGATTTAATTGTGCAAGATAATGAAAATTTTAATGTCATGGGCTTTTCTGAAACGTTTTTACATTCTGAAATTGACGATAAATTTATTAATATCTTTGGTTATGATCTGATCAGAAAAGATCGACTGAGCAAAAGTGGCGGAGGCCTTATCTTATATGTAAATTCAGATCTAAAATATTCAAGAAAACTTGATTATGAACATCAAAATATCGAATCCATTTGGATTGAACTCCATCCAGAATATGAAAAATCATTTTTATTATGTCTTGTATATAGACCACCTTCTTCGTGTACAGGTTGGTTTGATGATTTTGAAACTAGTTTAAATTCCATAAATACTGGTCAATCTATTTATGTAATAGGAGATTTTAATATAGATTATTCAACTACTGTTCCAAAACGATGGGAAAACATAATCAATATGCAGGGATTACATCAATTAATTACTGCCCCTACACGCTGTTTTAAAAATTCTTCTACTGTCATTGACCATCTATATACAAACACACCGGATAATATTGTTGAAATTAAAGTTCCTCAATATGGTATTAGTGACCATTTTCCGATTATTTTTATCATTGGAAACTGCAAGAGAAAAATCACAAAACACAACCACTTGGAAATTCTATACAGAAATTACAAAAACTTTGATGATTCTAATTTTATTAATGATCTTGCTAAAATTCCATTTGAACTAGTCGAGTCAATTGATGACCCAAATTCTGCCCTTGATACTTGGTATGACCTTTTTATAGGTGTTTTAGACTGCCATGCTCCGCAAAAGCGAAAAAGAGTAAAAAGATACTATCAACCGAAGTGGTTTAATGAGGAAATAAATAAAGCCCGAAAGTTCAGGGACTTCTTTAAAGCCTCCAAGAGGTGTGACGACTATAGAATATGGAGAAATAAAACCAAAAATCTCATTAATAAAGCCAAAAAAAACTTGATCAAGGACTCTATCGAAAATGAAGAGCAATCTAAAAACATATGGAGATATTTTCGTGACATACAGAATAAACCCAATAATTGCCCTTATCCCAATAGTATTAAATATGGAAAAACAACAGTTAATGATCTAAATGCTATTGCTAATGTGATGAATGATTACTTCACTAATTTAACTGATGACATTAAGCCCCCCTATACACCACTTTCTCAAGAGTGCAAACGAAAGATATCAGATTACGTAAATGATAAGATTCCCCCAAATAACAACTTTTCTATTAATTGTATTACTACCACAGAGGTATTAAAACATTTATTGAGTTTAAATAGTAACAAAGCCATTGGGTGTGATGGTATTGGACCCCAAATTTTAAAATTGTCTGCGTATACAATTTGTAGTAGTTTGACATATATCATTAATCTTTGTATTTCTCAAAACATGTTCCCCAGTGCCCTTAAACTGGCTAAAATTATTCCTATACATAAGAAGGGAGCTAAAGATGATCCGAACAATTATAGGCCAATCTCAATTCTCCCCACAATTTCAAAAATATTCGAAAGGCACTTGAGCACTCAAATTCAAACTTATTTGGAAACCTTCAATGTTCTTTATGCTTACCAATCTGGATTTAGATCAAATCATTCATGTGCTACTGCACTGATCCGAATGACAGATAATTGGCTTGATGCTATCGATAATGGTGCGATGAGTGGTATAGTGTATCTTGATTTTAGCAAAGCATTTGATCTCATTGATCATAAGCTTATTATTGAAAAACTACATCTTTATCGATTTGATAATAATTCACAAATTTTGATTGAATCATATCTTGACTCACGGAAGCAAAAAGTATGTTTAGGATCAATTACCTCCTCAATTACTACAGTCAAATGCGGGGTTCCACAAGGTTCGATCCTGGGTCCTCTCCTATTCCTAATTTTTATAAATGATCTCCCACTCAATATTGAATCAAGTCAGATAGATTTGTTTGCTGATGACAGTACCCTGTATTGTTCACACAAAGATATTTTATCCATCGCCAAAAATCTCCAAAATGATCTCTATTTGGTTGCTAAATGGTGTGAAAACAATGGGATGGTAATCAATCCTTCGAAAACAAAATCAATGCTGATTTCAACAAAACACAAAAGAAATCAGAAAAACCTAACTTTATCACTCCATGGTGAGAAAATTGAGACGGTTACTACCGCAAAATTACTTGGAATTCAAATTGACCAAGACCTTAATTGGGAAGCACAGATAGCAGATACGTCTAAAAAACTTGCATCAAAAATATTTCTCCTAAATAAGATAAAAGATCATTTACCTTACGAGACAAGAATTTTGTTTTATAACAGTTACATACTACCAATATTTGATTATTGCTCTATTATTTGGGGAAATGCTACCAAAAGTAGATTAGACATTCTTTTAAAATTACAAAAGAGGGCAGCAAGAGCTATTCTTGATGCACCGATTGAAACTCCGTCCACCTCTTTATTTACTAAACTCGGTTGGCTTACCCTTACACAGAGGATTCTTTACAATAAAATTGTCTTATCATTCAAAATTATTACATTTAATACTCCACTTTATCTAAATTTCCATTTTATTGAAAAATCTCTTGTTTCCAAAACGGATATCTTGCTCCGTTCACAGACCAGTAAATCTCTTTTTCTTCAAAAATGCAAAACGGAATCCATGAAACGTACTTTTCATTATTCTGCATGTCTTTTATGGAACAATCTGCCTTTTGATATAAAGATGTGTAAAAATGTTGAAAATTTTAAGATTAAACTGAAAACTCATTTATTTTGCACACTGAAGGAACCATAATATTCAACTGATGACATACTTATTATTTTTAACTTGCAACTGCATTCTATTTTATTTTGTGTGTAATTATAGTGTTCTTCCTATATTCTACTTGTATAATGTATATGTTTTGTAGTTTGGGAGTGACTTATCAAACTTCCCACTTTAAAATGCTATTGCATTTCTAATGATTTTAAATTTATCCTGATATTACATGTATATATGTCTTTGTAGTTTAGGAGGGACCTATGGAAGATTAGTTTTTTCTTTTTGCAAACTAAATACGTTGCCTCATTAAATAAAGTTTTTATTATTATTATATTATTATTATTATTATTATTATTATCTAGTATCATCAGAATGTAAGTCTGCCAGGTTTCTGGTGGTGGGTGTGGTATTCCACGCCCAAAATGCAATGCCCCCAACTAGACTAGTTTAGCTCAAAAGTGTACCACATGAAAATTGGTACACTTTTCAGCTAGGTTGACCCACTGGGCTCCTGGTCTAATGTATAGCTGATGGCAAACTTGAAGGAATTTTCATTTGGTCAAAGGGAAGAACCCTATTGAAAGATTTAACTCCCCAATTACTAATCTTGAGTATTGTCAATAACAGGCGGAATTAATTAAGTGATCAAACTAACACCTACCTTGATTGACTACTTAATCTTTGTGATTTCTTTTTTATCTTCATCCGAAAAACAATTTCTGGTTTCTTCTTTTTAAGCCAGTTTAATCCCCTGGATGTCAGTTGACATTATGGGGGTTGGGTGGTCGAGTGGACTAATGTGTGTGCTTCAGATCATAAGATCTGTCATTGAGTCAAGTGGTAGGGTGTATTTATTATGATGTTTTGTTTTATTGTTATAGCATCACCGACTAAAAGTGAAAGTGATAAAGTAACATCAACAGGTACGCAGATCATTGACCTACCTGTTGGTGAAATCGTTAAAAATACAGGTAATATCTACTTTATTTATTTGTCTGATATCTGTGCAGAGCATTCAGTGTTTTCATATTGCCTGCAAATACCAAAATTTTTGATTAACTGAGTTTCGACTTTAATTGAAAGAAGGAAAATTGAAAGGTATTTTCTTTGAAGCATTTATATTTGATATGATACTGTTTCAGAACTTCTGTGGCTTTATATGTCATGGGGGGGGGGGGCTTAAAATTTCAGACCTTGATTGACTTTGTTGCCAATGGTTGTGGAGGTCATCAAAATTTATGAGATGTTGAGCTTGATCTTCTCCCGGGTGACCGATGAACCACCAAGCATGGGCAGAACATAGGACATGTAGTGTAACTTAAATATTAGACATCAATCACCATTTCATTCCTTTCCCTAACTAAAAAGACTATGTTGTTGCTTGTCTTGTGTAACTGAATAATGTTTAATGTTATATTGGGGTTATTTTAGTTCCTTCAAAAAGAAAGAACATTGATGAATCAGTTGATGGTGAAGATGCACTAACCAAGAAATCGAAAACAGTCAAAGTAAACTGTCCAGTCCATAATAAAGATACAACTAATAGCGAAAATATTGATAAACAAGCCTCATCTAGTAATAAAAATAACTCTACAGGGTAGGTAAAAGTTTTATAGTCATTGGTAATAAAAAATAACGTAACTTTACTATTAAAGAGGCACTCTCACTTTAGCGATAGTCGTCAATCAGTAAATATAGTTTTTGTGATATGAGTTGGTATGGTTATTATACAGACAGTATGGTATTTGACTCAAAAATGACTGTCATGTTTATACAGACGGAACCTCGTATGACTTAAAACTAACTGGAAAGCTTATTTGTAAAGGTGCAACCAATGGTCTGGTCAGTCTGAAATCAAGCTTATTCCCTATTTTAACTACCTGTTAAATTCTCCTCCACAAAATTGGTGATAATGCCTCTTTAAAGCCTTAATCTGATTATTATTTTGCATTTTTATGTTGTACTGAATTTCCACCTTTTGTTGAAGTCAGTATTCAGCTGTTCAACTAATCAGTTTGTATTGATATGCCAGATTGCTTTTTGTAGGGAATTATAAAACACAATTGGCATATTAGATGATATAAATAGCACTCTCATGCGCAGAACATGGCACAGAGATAATGCCCCTATAGTATCAGACCAGGGTGGCGTCCTTACTGCGCTGCAGTGACCGTATGGCGACCTGAAATAGCACTAGGTCGCCGGAAAAAGTTAACACAACGTGAGAAAATGTCCCCAAAAATTACGAACTTTAAAAAAGTCTCATTTTCACAGCTTTTCAGATCAGATCGCAGAAATTTGGCATTTGTTTTGAACATGCTCAAAACAAACGCCGTGACTCGGCAATCATTTGCCACCATGGAGACCACAGTGCGATATCTGGCGTTGTCACCACGCTTATGACAATCTTGACGCGCTCCAAGACCATTTTTCGTCGCCGTAGCAGCACAGTAAGGGCGCCACCCCGGTCTGACTAGGGTATACGATTACAATGTAGTGTACAAAACAGAAAAAAAAATTGTAAATTTTCAAAAATTTGATTGCCATCATGTCTATTCAAGTTTTATAGGGTATAAATTATATTTATATGCCCACAATAGGCTGCAATCTTTTTTTCTAGACAAAGATGCTGTGTGGGTGTATTCCACACTGTGCATGGCTATCTAAAATCAGTAGAACATATAGGCTGTATTTCTCAAGAATGGATATATATTATGATCCCAAATTTGGATGTCATTCGATTAGAATTGATATTTAAAGGCCAATGTCAAACTATGTTGCTACAACAAAAGCATCTGAATTCTATATAATCTTACATAATATAACAAATGAAAACTACATATGTCAGATTGATTTAAATTTAGCCCTGCAAACACAGGAGCTGACTGACCTCACACAGGACTAACGAACCTTTATCATCATAAACAATGGTTAAAGATATATTATGGGAGATTTTTATAGAGAGTTGGCCATTCTTGCTATAACAGTTCAAAAGTAGATGATGAAAGAAGAATATATTGAAAAATTCAGTCAAATTACTTTATTCTGAACATAGTTATCATCGTTGTAATATTTGACTAAAAATGGTAGCGAAATGCGTCTTCACCTTCACCGATCGTTTGATTGACAGGCATTAACTCCACCTACATATCTCGATTATCAAGTAAAGTTTTCAATGGCATACGGAAACGCTTTACAGCGGCCTCGCTAAGTACACTCTATCATTTAGCCTCGATCTAACTGACGTATTTTCATCAGGTTACCCCTTATTTGATTTAATCAATTAGTGAAATCCTATTTAAATCCGAGATGTAGCCGAGCCATCCGTGGGTCTACAGAGTTGATTTTGGTCTTGTTGTTTCAATAAAGATCTAATTTATAATTTCTATAACATCTTAAGCCTAAATTAAGACTTAGCTCTTGCATAATGCATGTTTAAGTTATGTATTCGGTCATTATAAAAATTATCATGTTTCATCACAGCTGGTCCAAATGACATATACAGTGTAGCCCCTGACAATGGATCTATACAAAGCTAATATTTTTTTGCGGAAATTAGACTTGCAGTTTAAATCTGATTACATTGTTATAATAGCATCTGCCGGATAGAACACATAACAATAACATTAACTAGGGAGAAACCCTTGATACAATCAAATCAGATGAATGGATCCAGTGTGCATCATAAGTAGCCATTGAACGTCTGTTGTGCAGTCCTGGGTGAATGACAAATGACTTCACATCATAATTTTAAAGTGAAATTTGAAAAGGGAAGTAATTCACAAATGAAGTTTGACTATTTTCATCTTGGTATATAAAGACATTAAGATTACTCTTATTACAGTGTTACCGTAATACTACAAATACAATGACCAAATTACTCTTAATTTCAGAAAGAACTGTTTATGTAAAAGTAGTGCCAAATACATGTATTTATAACGTATTTATGTGCATGGTAAGCAGGAAGAAGTTATTGTACAAAAGTAGAAGGTAAGAACATCACAGAATGTTCTGACTGGTAATATGCATGGCTTCCTTTAATAAATTTTGCTTTAGAAGAGTTAGAGCTAACACTCCAGCATGACTATATTGCCGTTGTTGGTGTCTACTGACTACACTTGGGTTATAAGGATCCTTGTTTTTCAGAAGGACTTCATTAAGGCTGTTTGTAGATACCTGTCTTATACTGAAACCCACCTTACAGGAAGCTGAACTGTAATGTGGTCCTTGTATAGCTAGGCTGTTGGTCTTTTTGGGATTAACATATTAAGTTCCAGTCATGTACTGTTGAGAAAAAATTTCTTTTAAAAAGCCTTGCAATAAACCTCTTTATAACTATCATTTACAAACCAGACATTTGATTTCTTTTCTTTCTGATACATGATTGGTACTTTCAAAACATTCAGAACAGTGGCCAAATTTGGGGATTTTAATATTTATCAATTCTGAAAGGTTATAAATATCATCTGTAACTCACACTTATAAGGCCTATGCACACCAAGGATTTATTACATTACATTATCAACACTTTTTATACGCCCACATTTTCATGTGGACATATATTGTCGTCGCGCCTGTCCGTCCGTCCGTCCACAATTGTTTGTGAACAGTCTACAGGTCACAATTTTTATCCGATTTCAATGAAACTTGAAATATAGGTTTATCACCCTAAGATCTCGGTTCCTTTCGATATTGGTTCTTCATGGATTATGGCCCCTGATTGTACGGAAAATCACGTTTTTGGCTTGTGAACTCTGTCGAGGTCACAATTTTTATCCGATTTTGTTAAAGTTTATAACCCAAAGATCTCGGTTCCTTTCGATATTCACGCATATCGGACAATAACTTCCTGAATTATGGCCCCTGATTGTACGTAAAAAACGGGTTTTTTGGCTTGTGGACCCTATAGAGGTCATAATTTTTATCCGATTTAAAAAAACGTATTATTATATCACCGTTAAACCCTAAGGACGGTTGAGTTCGAATTTTGTGAAAATCGGCCCAAAACTGACAGACAAAATGGCCGCCGTTCGTTCTCAAATAGCGTAAAAATATGGTATATCAAGGTTGTGGAGCCTATAGAGGTCACAATTTTTATCCGATTTGGTTGAAACTTGAAATGTAAGTTTATAACCCAAAGATCTTGGTTCCTTTCGATATTTGCGCATATCGAATTGTAATTTTCTGAATTATGGCCCTTGATTGTAGGAAAAATCACTTCCTTTTTAGCTTGTTTTCTATCCATATCTCGAAAATGTGGGCGTATCCTGCCTGGCAGCCGCTGGTTTGCATTGTAATCAATTACCAGTACATTTATTCTTAGATCAGAAATAGGCCTGCAGCCAAAGTTTTAGCGTGAAGTCGCGCTACAAAGTCCTTCCTGCTAAACAAACTATACATTTTTGGAAAGCTTATAACACCAGGAATACAAATCCTGAGAGTTCCAAGCAAAATGTTTGCAGAAACTTGATTTAAGGCCTGATGAAGGCAATTATTGAAATAATGTTGAACCATATGTTAGTCCCGAAATGACCTAGTTTGTGTCAAGTGGATGCTAAACCCCATTTATCTCTCTCTCTATATATATATTTACTTTATGACTTGTCCTCACACATTAGATATATTTATTTCATGAAAAGCACCATTACAAAATATCTATTTGAATGTTATTGTATACCAATTATGGCTTCATTTCTAATTCTGATATCAACCAGCTAACCTATTTGTAATGTTTAAGTTTTTTTGATTAACAAATAAGTTTAACCTTTTGCACATGTGATTTACCATTTTGCACATGCAATCAAAATCATTTCATCAAAATGTAATTGACCATTATTACATGTTTTTTGGGGAATGCAATTAAATATACATTGGCCTGAACGTATTTATCGGGTGGTTATTTCCAATAAAAGTATGGCAAACTGTTGTCTGCCAGCTTATTCTGTGCTAGCTTGACCAAGGCAGAGGTTGATATTTCTTGATCAGATGGTTGGGCAGTTTGGGGAACATTGAGGGGTGTCAACGTACAAAAGACTCTGCAATGAAATGGCAGAAAAAGAAGTTCACAGAAAATAATTAAGATTTGACTTAGGCCTCAATATGCATGGTAAATGGATAGTAAGTAATGAAAAATACATTCTGAAAAATGGACTCTCCCACAATGAAGTAAGGTGACAGATAGCTTTAAGAATCTCACGGCGAATACAAAGTTTTGAGAGGGATTTGAAGCAAATTTTTGATAGATTAATTAGTTTGAATATGTTTTTAGTCCGAATATATCATCAAATAACACAGATTGTACACAGGAAAGTATCTTTAATTACTTTTCTATGTCCCATTACATGATGATTACTTCAAAGAATGTAATAACTACATTCCATTACCCTAGGTCTGCGTTGTTATGACTTTCTAGAAAGGTTGTCTAGCTCTGGATTTTTGACAATTAAACAGGCCCTTAGCAAGATGAATTCTAATGTCTTTTTTTTCTTTACAGCCACAATTATTCATTAAAATGCAAACAGGTTATTAATAATCCAGATATGATAGATCCTCGAAATATTAAAAAAGAATTTGAAATTTTGAACTTTGATCCTCTACAGTTAGAGACAGGTAACTTTGTGATAATTAATTTCTCCATCTATTTGTATATCCACAATTTCTTGTGAATACACTGTTTTGAAAGGAGTGAACAACAAGTGTTTCAGGGTTGAGTGTCCGCCTTGGGTCTAAAAGAACCGTGAGGATTTTTGAAGCTGACTCTGTACTCAGTTTGGCTTGGTATCATTTTTTATATGCCTACATTACCATGTGGACGTATTTTGCCATCACCCCTGTCCGCCGTCCACAATTTGTTTGTGGACACTCTACAGGTCACAATTTTTATCCGATTTTGACGAAACTTGAAATATTGGTCTATCTCCAAAAGATCTTGGTTGCTTCCGATATTGGCATGTATTGGACCATAACCTCATGAAATATAGCCCCTGATTGTAAGAAAAATCATGTTTTTAGCTTCTGGACACGGTAGAGGTCACAATTTTCATCTTATTTTGATGAAACTTGGTTCCTTACGATATTTCTTGAAAATTGGACCGAAACTGCCTTACACAATGGCGGCTCCTTGTACATAAATAGTGTAAAAGTATGTAATATCAAGCTTGTAGTCACAATTTTTTTGCAATTTTGATGAAACTTAAAATATATCTGTATATCCCCAATATCTCAGTCCCTTTCAATATTTGCACATTTCAGACCATAACTTCCTGGATTATGGTCCGTGATTGTACAAAAAAACACTTTTATGGTTAGCTTGTTCTCTATCCATCTCGGGGGGGGGGGATAGCAGAATGGTTAGCGTATGCGCACTGTATCATAAGGTCTGTCATTGAGTCTGGCATGGTTTCGATTCCCCGGTTGTACGTCGCTTGTCCAACCTCGTGGGTTTTCTCCGGGTCCTCCAGTTACCTCCCACTGCTAAAGATCCCTACGCGCATGCAAATTATTGAAATAGAATTGAACAATATGTTAGTCTCGAAATGACCTGTTTTGTGTCAAGTGGACGTTAAACACTCTCTCTCTTTCTCTCTCTCTTTCTCTGTATGTAATTTATTTACAGTTTTAATGTTAGTCAAACGAAGAATCCTATTGAATTTCAACAATTTCCAATAATTACTTCTTGAGTTATGGGCCTTGTTTTACTTTGTTGAACAAAGCGAATGCTTAAATTACATAAGTCATCATCTGACCTGTATGAAATTTATATGCATTATTTAAATTAGTAAAGAATTCGACAATTTTTGTATATTACTTTCCGAGTTAAGGCCCTTGTTTCAGTTTGTAGCACCTTGTGAACCCTCAAAGGACGAAAATTATAATCTGATCTGTATGAAAATGTCTTGTTAATGCCCCCTATTACCTACAATAGTCAACATATGCGACAGCCCTTGTTGACCGCTCGGACTAATTAGCTGCTGTGGGTGTATCTTTCGTTGCCTGGCAACATATCTTTTATTTTTGTAGGTAATAGAACTAATAATTATGAACAGTTGAAGTATTGAAAAGCCTTCTTCCAAAGTGTTTTATAGAGACGTCGAAAAAAACGGAAGTAAAATGATAAATCGTTGCTTGACTGTTTTTAAATAGCTTCTATATGAAAATAAGCAATCAAATTGATATGTAACTGATGCTTTTTATACGCCCACATTTTCATGTGGACGTATATTGTCGTCCGTCCGTCCACAATTGTTTGTGAACAGTCTACTGGTCACAATTTTTATCCCATTGCAATGAAACTTGAAATATAGGTTTATCACCCTAAGATCTTGGTTCCTTTCGATATTGGCATGTATCGGACTGTAACTTCATGGATTATGGCCCCTGATTGTACGAAAAATCACGTTTTTAGCTTGTGAACACTGTAGAGGTCACAATTTTTATCCTATTTAGTTAAAACTTGAAATGTATTATTATAACCCAAAGACCTCGGTTCCCTTCGATATTCGTGCATATCGGAACGTAACTTCCTGAATTATGGCCCCTGATTGTACGAAAAATCGCATTTTTAGCTTGTGGACCCTATAGAGGTCATAATTTTTATCCGATTTAAAAAAACGTATTATTATATCACCGTTAAACCCTAAGGACGGCTGAGTTCGAATTTCATGAAAATCGGCCCAAAACTGACAGACAAAATGGTCGCCCATCGTTCTCAAATAGCGTAAAAATATGCATCAAGGTTGTGGATCCTATGGAGGTCACAATTTTTATCCGATTTTGTTGAAATTTTAAATGTAAGTTTATAACACAAAGATCTCGGTTTCGATATTTGCGCATATCGAATTGTAATTCCTGCATTATAGCCCTTGATTGTAGGAAAAATCACTTTCTTTTTAGCTTGTTCTCTATCCATCTCTCGAAAATGTGGGCGTATCCTGTCTGGCAACCGCTGGTAATCCGATTTTGTTGAAACTTGAATTGTAAGTTTATAACCCAAAGATTGTGGTTCCTTTCGATATTCGTGCATATCGGACCGTAACTTCCTGAATTATGACCCCTGATTGTACGAAAAATCACGTTTTTAGCTTGTGGACCCTATAGAGGTCATAATTTTTATCCGATTTACAAAAATGTATAATTGTATCACCGTTACACCCAAAGGACGGCTGAGTTCGAATTTCGTGAAAATCGGCCCAAAACAGACAGACAAAATGGCGGCCCTTCATTCTCAAATATCGTAAAAATATGGTATATCAAGGTTGTGGACCCTATAGAGGTCACAATTTTAATCCTATTTAGATGAATCTTGAAATGTAAATTTATATCCCAAAGATCTTCGTTCCTTTCGATATTCGCGCATATCGGAACGTAACTTCCTGAATTATGGCCCCTGGTTGTACGAAAAATTGCGATTTTAGCTTGTGGACCCAATAGAGGTCATAAATTTTAACCGATTGAGAAAAACTTATAATTGTATCACCGTTAGACCCTAAGGATGACTGAGTTCGAATTTCGTGAAAATCGGCCCAAAACTGACCGACAAAATGGCCGCCCTTCGATCTCAAATAGCGTAAAAATATGGTATATCGAGGTTGTGGACCCTATAGAGGTCCCAATTTTTTTCCGATTTTGATGAAACTTGAAATGTAAGTTTATAACCTAAAGATCTTGGTTCCTTTCGATAGTCGCGCATATCGGACAGTAACTTCCTGAATTATGGCCCCTGATTGTACGAAAAATCACTTTCTTTTTAGCTTGTTCTCTATCCATCTCTCGAAAATGTGGGCGTATCCTGCCTGGCAGCCGCTGGTTCACTCAAGTCCCATACACAAGGAACAGAGCCAAAACTGGTACCGAGCCAAACTGCAAAATTGGTTCTAACTTTATCATAAGAGGCATCTGAAGGGCTGACAAGAAATACAAACACAAGGTCCTGTGAAGTCTGCAAATAACCCATGTAGATTAAACTTTGAACAATGTTGTATTCAAGTTTTTCAAAATTTTTGCCAATTGGACCGTTGGATCCCCATTTGCATTAGGACCTTTATATAGCTAGTAATCATTACTAGCTTTAGAGAATAGTGGAAATCCTTTCATTATTTCTCTTTACAAATTTCAGGACATGCAGCCATTGTAATGATTAAAAATGGAAAAACTGGAATAGGAAAAGTCATAAACACTACTAATATAGGGAAAAGTAATGCATTTGAAATACTCTGGTATAAAGGTAATTATCCCGTGCCGAACAAAGTTAGGGAATGATATTGAAACGGGGTCCGTCCGTCCGTCCGTCCGATTTCGTTTCTGGAGCATATCTCATAAACCGTTCAAGATATCTTTCTGAAACTTTGCACACATATCAACCTATTACAGTACTTGTGCCTTTTTAGGAATTTCTGGGATTTATATTTTTTATGTTTCCATGGAAACAAATTTGACTTAGTTTTTGGTGTACAATTTTGTTTCTGGAGCATATCTCATAAACCGTTCTAGATATTTTTCTGAAACTTTGCACTCACATCAACCTATTACAGTAGTTGTGCCTTTTGCTATTTAGGAATTTCTGGGATTTATATTTTTTTGTGTTTCCATGGAAACAAATTTGACTTAGTTTTTGGTGTATAATTTTGTTTCCGGAACATATATCATAAACTGTTCAAGATATCTTTTTGAAACTTTGTACACACATCTACTCATTACAGTAGTTGTGCCTTTTGCTATTTAGGAATTTCTAGGATTTATATATTTTGTGTTTCCATGGAAACAAATTTGACTTAGTTTTTGGTGTACAATTTTGTTTCCGGAGCATATCTCATAAACCGTTCAAGATATCTTCTTGGCACTTATTTTGAATTTCTCAGATTTGATAATTTTATGTGTTTCCATGGAAACACATTTGACTGTTCAAGATACCTTTACCCATTATTTTATTTTCTGAAATCCAGCCTTCCGTCCTGATTTTGTTTCTAGAGCATATTTTATTATCTGTTCGAGAAATTTTTATGAAACTTTGTACAAACATTAACCTATTATAGTATTTTATTTTCTGATGTATAAGTTTATTGTTTAACATACAGCGGATGATTGAGGTAGGCAACGGTTGTTTTGCAATCCTTACAGAGAGTAGCGACTTTGCCTTGCCGAGCTACTATGAGTATGAATCTTCTGACTAGTCCCATTGATATTCCAAGAAGTTGTTTTTATACGCTCACATTTTCATGTGGACGTATTATGCTGTCGCCCCTGTCCGTCTGTCCGTGAAAATCAGCCCAAAATTGACAGACAAAATGGCCGCCGTTCATTCTCAAATAGCGTAAAAATATAGTATATCAAGGTTGTGGACCCTATAGAGGTCACAATTTTTATCCGATTTTGTTGAAACTCGACATGTAAGTTTATAACCCAAAGATCTCGGTTCCTTTCGATATTCGCGCATATCGGACCGTAAATTTCTGAATTATGGTCCCCGATTGTACGAAAAATCGCGTTTTTAACTTGTGGACCCTATAGAGGTCATAATTTTTATCCGATTTAAAAAAAACGTATTATTATATCACAGGCTGAGTTCGAATTTCGTGAAAATCGGCCCAAAATTAGCGCATATCGGACCGTAACTTCCTGAATTCTGGCCCCTGATTGTACGAAAAATCACTCTCTTTTTAGCGTGTTCTCTATCCATCTCTCGATAATGTGGGCGTATCATGCCTCGCAGCCGCTGGTTCCTTATGCCTTCCAAACAAGTTCAAGGGCGCGGGATGGTGATGACTAGTCATCTTGTTTGGATTTGAAACCAATTTGAAATAAATGCAAATTAAAGGCACACTGCAGCATAAGGTGCTTTGAATTTTGCATAAGTGCTTTCTGTAGATAGTTTTCAGAACAGCTGAATATGTTCATTATAGATTTTCCATTCTGCTGATGGGGGAAGGGGTGTTCAAAATGCCACAACAAAACTCATGGCAACTGCCAAACCACTTTGACTGTGACACTGACAATTAAGTATTTTTTAGGTATCATGTATTCAATTTCAATATATATAATAAGCTGATCCTTACATATATAGTTATCTGTTCTAGTTTTACGTTACGCAATGATTTTATGTACTTGACAGGTGAAATAGGAAAAGATCGAACATATTCTCTCTGTGGTGAAGAGGATACTTCATTCGGTGTAAGCATTTTTATTTCCCAGTATTTATGATTTGTATGAATGTATATTGACATCTCTGTATGTCTGTCTGTATGTCCATCCACGCTTCCTTGTAAACATATTAGAGTTAACATTCATCATCCGATTTTGACAGAAAATTGATATTTGACTCTACATGTATATCCACAATATCTTGTTATGGATGGTTCAGAATTGTGCCAAAATAAGTCGAAAATGTTTGTGAATGCATGAGAGTCAACATTATTAATCTGATTTTGATGGATCTTGGTTATAATAACAGATTTATTGCCCTCGACATGACCAAAACGGGGGTCACGGTAGCTAAGTGGGCAAGACGCTGGCTCGCTAGCCTAGAGGTCGGGTGTTAGATCCCTGCATTGGCCTAGAAAGTTCATCCCGATTTTCCGGCGTGGTTCCCCCTTGTCAGTGATGCAGGACGGAGGGCCTGACAACGACAGCTGTCTAGTTGTTTGTATAGGATGGAAAACTGAGGTCCTGTGTACACGTTGGCGTGCATGTAAAAGATCCCTTGACAGTTGGAATTTGATATAAGAGTAGGCCGTAACACCGCTGTCCGGGCAAAATTTCCCTCATAGCACACCAAATGGCGTATGCCCGTCTTCATTAGCCCACTTTGAAGCAAAACAGTAGGATGTTAAACCCCATTTCATTTCATTTTCATACCCAAAACGCTTGTGAAAGCATCCGGTTTTGGTCCCTTTTTATATAAGATCAGTATGTCATTAGATGTTATGTATGCCAGCCCTGCCTAGGAGGAGTTCAACACTCAAAAGTCAGCAATCTTTGTTTATTTTCATAAATTTACATTTAATGACGTTTCAGTTCAAAACATACATACCTGTAATTATATTGCATAACTTTGAAGCGGATCAATTGATTTTAATTTTATTATTGCCCTTGATAAGATAATTAATGACTATCTTGTATTTTATTCTGTAGCAAGGAAAAACAGTTTATTTACTAGAAACTTCCATGGTAAGTAGAAATAATGATACTGTAAGAACACATTAGTTAATTTTGAACCAAAGAGAAGATTCCTTTTAAACATACATTATGCAAGAGCTTAATCTGCCTATTGCACATATCCAGACCATAATCAACTCTCGATGTCATCACTAGCCTGCAATATTTAGTGGATTAGAATCCGATCTGCTGCTCAACGCTCATTGATGATTAAATAAAATAATGGATAATCAAGACTATGTTTTTTATCGTCCCGACTTTAGTTATGAGGATCTAGTTTTAAACTATTATGGTGAAAACTGCCAGCTCTTTATCTAATCTTCCATAAGATATCTTAAAGTTTATTCTGTTCTAAATTGACTTTTACATGTAAAAAAAGATTAAGGTCTCACAAATAACCAGAACAAAAGGTTGCTATCTTAAAGATGCATTATGTAAGATTTAGATAAAGTGCTGGCCGTTCTTGCTATAATAGTTCAAAAATAGATAATGAAAAATAAATATATTGTAAATTTCATTCACATTACTTTATTCTGATCAAAATTATGGGTGTTGGAAGGTCTAGCTTAAATTGTTTATTATCGTAGCAACGGTACTGGACAAGTGAGACTCTGTCTCAACTATCCATATTATCCTTAAATTTTAAAATCTAGCGGGCATTCTAATCCATTTAAATCTCTGCCATCAGATGGTCTAGAGGGTTGATTATGGGCTTGTCATGGTAATAAATGTCTAAATGATAATTTATATACCATTTGAAGCTAAATTAAAGACCTGCAATAGGCTGATTCAGCTCTTGAATAATCAGGGACGTAAATGTGGGGGGTGTACAGGAAAAAAAATAGTCAGTCGCAAAATCAGTGCAGTCGGTCGCAAAATAAGAGCAGTCGCAAAATCAGTGCAGTCGGTCGCAAAATAAGAGCAGTCGGTATCAAAATAAGTGCTCACTGCACACATCACGCTACTCGCGCAAAACTTTAGTATAAAATAACTTTGTCAACTTAATGTGTTTCACTCTTATTCTGTTGTGAGTATGTAGGTCTAAGAACAAAATTTCCCCCAGGGAGAAAGATAGTCGGTCTCAAAATAAGTGCAGTCACTGCAGTCGGTCTCAAAATTATGCATCGCCGTCTTAATGAATTAATGAGGTAAACAAATAATGCCAGAATAGATCCCAAATACTAGTCGGTCGCAAAATCAGTGCAATCGGTCGTAAGATATGAGCAGTCGGTATCAAAATAAGTGCTCACTGCACACGCCACTCTACTCACGCAAAACTTTAGTATAAAATAACCTTGTCGACTTATCATGTTTGAAAAAAATGTTTTTCACCCCATGGCAAAAAAATAGTCGGTCCCGAAAAAAAAGTGCTCACCGCAGTCGGTCTCAGACTATTAATGAATTAATGGGGTGTTTTCTGACCATCAGAATGCTACAAAATCTCTCCCGATTTCAGAGACCAAGTAAGCGCCCCAATGAGGTAAAGTGCCATCAGGCCCAGTCCTCAAAAATTAAAAGCTCAGTTACATATTGGCGCTCATTCCATTATGCCATCATTCTTCAACTCCTTCTCTGTCTTATACTATCTCATCACTATATTCACAGTTACAGTGAATCGCCCAGTTAGTAGTACCACTAGTGAGTGAGTCGTGTGTCAAAAGACTGTAGAATTGTTAGTTCTACTCTCACAAAACAGGCGACATTGACAGATAGGCCTCAAGATTCTGTCACATTTCTTATCCTCTCGTTAACGAGAATTTGGATCCATTTGCCATGACATTGACTAAAATTGTCAGGCCCAGTCCCAAAAAATAAAAGCTCGGTTACACCCCCACCCCATCTAGATCCGCTACTGCACATGGCCCCTACAAAACTCGCACCTGTGGTGCTCGGTTCCTGACTGCATCACTCGTACTAGGGGTATGGCCATCAGTCGGTCGCATTTTGGCTAAACATCCCCCCCAAACAAAATCGTTATGTACGCCCCTGTGAATAATGCATCTTTAATGAAAAATTAATGGAATTGCTGATGTTTTAAATTGAGATTGATCTTTTTTCAGATAGATGTAAATAATTTGATTTGTTCCTTCAAATATGATTTCCAGAACAATATACCAGATGTTTTAAATGATGAGATTAATAAAGCTCTTCTCTTTAAAAATGTATAAACAGATCTCCAGGCTGTGCTCTAATTTGGAACATAATAAAATTCTTGGATTAAGTTGTTTGTACAGAATTTTTCTAAATATACAATAAAAATAATGTTAAGATAATGTGTCAACTGTTCACAAGCTGTAAACACAGAAATAGTTTTAAAAGTGTCACCAGTTACCAAAGTGTTTACTAAATAAATAATGATTATAAATTGTGCCATCTTTTATGTGTGTGCAGTATAATTACTATTGTGGTTTATATTCGCTAAGTGTCAACAATAGATATGTGAAGTGTTCCAGAAATGTTTAAATACTATTAATGTGTTTAATGTTCCCACGGTGTGTACAGTAGAAATACTGTTAAGTGTGTGAACAGTAGCTAGAAAAACTATTGAAGTGTTAAATAGAAAAACTATGAAAGTGTTAAATTCCTAAGTGTCAATATTAGAAATATGGTTAAAGTGTTAGATGTTTCCAAAGTGTGTACAGTAGAAATATTATTAAAGTGTGAACTATTCCCAAATTGTGTAAAATAGAAATACTTGTACAGTTGTATTATGAAATGTTGAAAATGAGTGTGCAAGTGGAAGATTTGTATGTTAAATTTGGATTGAAATAAAAAGACATTGAATGAAGTTTGGCAGATGCTTAGTGTGAAGTAATACTGTTTGTATCAAAATACCTGATCCTGCATGTGAAATAATTGAAGTGTTAAAAACATAAGGAAAATATTAGGTTTGAAATAATGTTAGTGTTAATTTAAAGAGATGTACCCTATGTGTAGGAAATCGGTTTATTATTTAGAATCATAGACAATAAAATTGTTGAGTGCTTTATATTTATAAAAGAAAGATGTAACACATTCAACAGATAAACAATTATAATAAGAATATATGATATATAAGCTTACATATATACATTAAAAAATATATATATTTTGTGGCGGCATACCTTTTATCTTTTCATCGTTTATAGTGTAATAAAGTAGTGCAGCTTTACCATTGTGCTAATATATTTTGGATATGTATTACTATTAACAAGGTTTGGCGTTGACACCCCGAAAACTTAATCTTTAACGATAAGAAAACATATAGTCAGAAACACAATTCAACATCGTGATTGAAGATGAAAAATGTCATTTATATTCCACAGATGACTTGAAGACACAAATCATGCCCGTATGACAGCTTTCACCTGTTATCTCAATGAAGAAATGCCTCCAATTGTGACAGAGTGTGTACATGTGGGTTCAATGCCTGTACTCGATGCCCCAAATGTCCCAAACATACTCTTAACGGATGAAGGTCAGGACCTATTGTAGCAATATTGCTAGAATTTTTGCTCTTGAAATTAATGATGGCATTATATTGTATTAATTAATATCTTTGGCAAGTTATTAGATTCACATATATGTACTTAAATCAAGTTAGCAAATGAGTGGCAATGGCATATTGTTACATAAAATAAAGAGTCATAATGTGGTAAACATTCAATTCGAGGTTGATAACAGATATCTTGTGGGAAATTTCTCCAGTAAATTTCCACTAACCATATGAGGGTGGGTTTCAACGTCATTTGACTTAATTAACCAATCTCTTTGATTATTTACATCCTATTTGACCAATTAGATGATTGAAGGTCCAAAACCCAAAGCTACAAAAATATCATACTTGTGAGAATTTATCAGACAACAGACAGATACTGGAAGGGAAAAGATGTAGCAATTTCTATCAGCAGACTCGCCCCAGCGAGTCTGACTGGGTATGTTTAGAGAATGACTTTAGTATTGTAATCTATACTATGCTTGTATCCATGTATCCGGCTATGTTATGTAAAATGTAAAAACGAACTGTTGCATTGTTATTCCTGGAAAGACAAACGTCTTAACTGACTGAGAAAACAGTCAGAAATGAAATGAAATGAAATGGGGTTTAACGTCCTACTGTTCTGCTCCTAAACTGGGCTAATGAAGACGGGCATACACCATACAGTGTGCTATGAGGGAAATTTTGCCCGCGCAGCAGCGCTACAGCCATCTTTAATATCGAATTCCAACTGCCAAGGGATCTTTTACGTGCACGCCAATATGTACACGGGACCTCGGTTTTTCGTCCCATCCGAACGACTAGACAACTTTCCTTGTCAGACGCTCCGTCCTGTATCACTGACAAGGGGAAACCACGCCAGAAAATAAATACACATCGTGAAGGGGAAGCAAAGACAACAAGTGAAAATACTAGACAATCACAGGGCTACTAAAATATGTAGTAAGAAAAGATGCATGGGTCATACGTAGGATGTGGCGATCGGATTTGGTGGCCCGCTCTCACTGTCTGACAGAAGACCCATGGTGCTACACTATTGCAGGCCAAGGCATTGTAGAGAAAGCTGTCCTCCAGTGGCGGGTTTATCGGCTATTGATGATTTATCGACTTAACATGACCTTTTTCATCATTAATCACACAATATTGAAGCCCGTTTCTGAATCTGCATCTCCATACTTATTTTGACACCCTTTTAGCGCAAATGTGGTATCTTGGAATTATTTACATAATGGTGATAAAAATCAGAAAAATTGGATAAACTTTTTATGTTTTCTTATCGTCAAATATGTATTCTTGCAGACCACATTTGTTTTTCCGAGGTTATATTATCAGTGCCAAACCTTGTAAGACAAATCATTGTGAAAAATACATAGGGTGCTTAAATTTTTTCTGTGTGTTTGTGTGTTCTATCATCTCTCCAAAAGGTTGATTTTACAGGAGACGAAAAGAGGTGTTTTTTTTTTCTTTTAAGTAAGAGAACAGAATGTGGTGTAAAAAATCATGTGTAGCTTACTAAACTACAACTAAATTTAATTTGTGTTTGTCTCGTTGACGTTGAAACAAGAATCCTATTCATTTTCAACTCAATAGTTATCCCACTTTATTATAAAATCTTGTAAGAAATTTAAAAGAGTGCAGTTATTTTTGCCCCCCCCCCCCCGCCTTTCTAAGAAAGCAGGGGACTATTAAAATGGGTCTCTGTCTGTCTGTCTGTCTGCCCGTCCGCCCGTCTGTCACACTTTTTGGGACACAATAATTTTCCTAATTAAGCTAGATGTCATACGAGCAGCTTTTGACCCTATTACGTCAGACACTTGATTAACAAATCAGCATTCATGTTACTAAGGGATTACCTACAGTTCCGTGCAAAACACGCCTTGAGTTCGCCGTAACAGACCGTTTCATTAGCTATTCCCCCACATCATTCAGAACACGTCAATGATAACAACTCTTCCAGATCCTAGTGTAGTAATGACAAGTAAAGCGAAACGAAATAGGATCTGTGTTTTAATCAGATTGGTTGATGCTTTGGGACACGATAACACTAGTTCTAATTAAGTGACAGTGGGGACACTTCTATAGTTTTATCACATCAATACCTTGACTAAGTTCGATAGTGAGCATTTTCTCCTCAGGGTAAGCAGAGCTATAAGCAATTTGATTGGCCGATACTTTGGAACACAATAACTCTCCTTCTAATTGAGAAATGAAATGAAATGAAATGGGGTTTAACGTCCTACTGTTTTGCTCCGAACTGGGCTAATGAAGACGGGCATACACCATACAGTGTGCTATGAGGGTAATTTTGCCCGGACAGCGGCACTACGGCCTACTCTTATATCGAATTCCAACTGTCAAGGGATCTTTTACGTGCACGCCAATGTGTACACGGGACCTCGGTTTTTCGTCTCATCCGAATGACTAGACAGCTGTCCTTGTCAGGCCCTCCGTCCTGCATCACTGACAAGGGGGAACCACGCCGGAACCTTCTAATTGAGATAGAATGTTCAAACTTGGTGTAGGCGTTCATTAGGTGAACGCCTTGAGCGAGTTCGATGATAAACATTGTCTGCTTACGGTAAGCAGAGATAGGTAATCTGATCGGTTGATGCTTTTGGGCACGATAACTTTGGTTTTAATTGAGAGTGATGAAACTCCCGAGTATAGCTTTATTACATCAATACCTTGACTAAGTTCGATGATGAGAATTTTCTGCTTAGGCTAAGGAGTGATAAGTATTTTGATGGGTCAAAACCTTGGAACATAACTCTGCTTTTAATTCAGGTAGAATGTTTAAACTTTATGTAGATGTTCATTAGGTGAATGTCTTGACTGAGTTCAATGATTAACATTTCGAGCTAAAGCTAAGCCGAACTAAGAAATTTCATTGGTCGATGCTTTGGGACAAGATAACTTTGATTCTATCTGATATAGAGTGATGAAACTTAGTGTATAGTTGATTATCAGTTTGATTGCTTGATACTTTTGAAAAAAATAAATGTGCGATTAATATATTTTGGGATTTGGGCGGCGGACATCAGCCTCACTGTTGGCTTGTTAATTTTGTATTGAAAGGAAGAAACCTTTTTGATTCTCAATGATTTTCAATAACTTCTAGTGTTCTTCAACTTTGTTAGATAATCTTGTTATTTTCTCTATTCAAACTATACTATTCAAAAAAAGTAGGGGATATTTGATTTTTAAGTGTTATTAAAGTCACCTAATGAAACTGACGAAGAAACAAATGACAAAATGAAATGAAGTTCACATTCATCGATTTATTCCAAATGATCGTTAAACTAAGTAAGGCACAGACTGACCATTATAAGGGTAAAATGATACCCGGGGTCAAACAGCAAAGTTACCACAGCATCACAACCAAGTCAGTAACGGGTAAATCCTCCTCTGTTTGCCAAACAAGCATTGATCCGACGTGGCATACTCCTAATGAGACGTCTAAGGTCATTTTGGTCCAGATTGTCCCATTCCTGTTGCAACGCAGCAGCAAGTTCTTGGACATTGGCAGGACGTTGTTGACGTTGACGTAACCTCTGTCCAAGCATGTCCCAGACGTGCTCGATGGGGGAGAGGTCGGGACTCAGTGCTGGCCAAGGTAATGTGGTGATGTTCTGTTGTTGGAGGTAACCTGTAACGATCCTGGCCCTGTGACATCTTGCGTTGTCATCCTGGAAGATGAAACGGCGGCCATGACGTCGTGCGAACGGCACAACATGGACTGCCAAGATGTTGTCCCGGTAGTACTGGCCTGTAACACGCCCTGCAACAACATGTAAAGCCGTTCTTCCAGCAACAGTGATGCCTCCCCACACCATAACAGAACCACCCCCAAATCGATCATGTCTGATGACGTTAACGTCTTGGAAGCGCTCGTTTCGACGACGCCACACCCTCCTACGTCTGTCCAAAAAATCAACAGTGAACCTTGACTCATCTGAAAACATCACATTGCTCCAGCGTCGATTATCCCAGTGTTGACGATCCCTACACCAACAACGTCTTGCCTGAATGTGATGATCTCTCAAACAAGGGATCACGCGAGGACGTCGGGCGCGAAGGTGACCCCTATGCAGTCGATTCCGAATCGTCTGGCCACTCACTCTCACACCAGTGTCTGTTTGAAGACGAGCGCTGATCTGATTTGCTGTGATGACACGATTTCTCAAGGCCAAGGTACGGATATGTCGATCCTGGGCTTGAGTTGTCGCCCTTGGTCGACCTGAGCGTGGTCTGTCCTGTACAGATTGTGTATCACGGTATCTGGACCATAGCCTGCTTATGACAGACTGAGAAACATTCATCGTCCGCGCCACAACCGCCTGTGTTGTGCCGATCTGTAGCATGCCAAGGGCACGTAACCTTTCATTTTGGGTAAGCCGACGCATATCAAAATTTGTTTTCTGGTCACTAAAACAATTAAACTGATGTTTCCACCCTGGAATTCAATGCCACAATGACTGGAACATTCAAAGTCAGAGTCGTGCAAATCTTGGGTTGGACCCCCATGATGATCCCAAGCATCACCTGCATTCCATGCGGTAGCTATTGGTGCGTTTGGGCGTCACATTTAACTGGAAATGTTTCTTCTGTTAGGTTCTATAGTGACTTTTTTCGTAGTCATTTGCATATTTTAGTATTATGCCCCCAAAATCAAATATCCCCTACTTTTTTTGAATAGTATATTTCAAAATATAGACAGCATTCTAAATGTCTGCCTTCCTAGGATTATATGAATGATGGTATTTAAGGTGTTTAAGAAATTTAATAAAAAAGAATTGAATAGTTGTTTTACAGAAAAATGTGTTAGTTTTTTGTTCAAATAATGCTGGTGTGATATACGTTCACATGTTGACTCGGAGCACTAAACCACTGCAGAATCTGAAAAGGGAAGGTTCATTTGGGACAAGATATTGTAACTTTGCCCCAGTGAGGCTAATTTGATGTCGTAGGAAGTGCCAAACCCAATTAGCCCCAGGAGCGTTGTAAAGTGTTATAAAATTTGAATCAGCTTAACATATATAATAAGACAAAAGGTAATTGAAAGAGGGCAGGACCGAACCGGATTAAAATGAAGAGGGGATACCACTTATTAGCCCACTTCCAACCTGACGCCTAGATGAGGATGAAAGTGTGTTTAACACTAGGCTACAGTGCTTGTAAGAAAGGCTGATGGCAAGGTCAAAAGTATACAACTTGGTCGGGGCCCCTAAAACTTGAGCCCATAGACTTCATCCTGCCAAGCCTATAGGTAAATCCGATTTGGGGGAAATAGTAGTAGTGGTAATGTTCACTAACTATATCGTTTCGAAATTAACATTTTATTTCAATAAAACATAGCAGGAAACCAGAGAAACCCCACTGGGTTATACAAGCGACAAACAAATCCATGGGATTCAATCCATGACTTGCATAGATAATAGGCTCAATGGTCTACCTACAGTTACACCACCACGCAGAGGCGTAGCCGTGACATATATATTGGGGGGGGGGTCCGCATCCCTAACCCCTAACCCTAACCCATTTTTTAAAACCCCTAAAAAATATAAACAAACACCATGTGGCCATGCTGTCTACCAAGACACCGCGTGCAAAAGCATTATGGTTACGTTGCTGGCTGAGCGGGCGATAAATATTTGGTTTAGGCGGTTATGTTTTTGGGTACCTACATGCGATTCACTCTGATAAGTGGCAGAAAAAAAATAAAATATTACTGACAGGCAAACCTGACACAATTGTACGGAACACAGGTACTTTTCACTTCACACATGTTTCCAGGATGATTATCTCAGTGTTTTATTTTAGCAGTATAAACCATGGGATATGTACAGGTTTTATACAGATAGAATCTTAACTAATCCTAATAATTGTTGTAAACTCCCCCCCCCCCCCCAGAAAAACAATTGGGGGGGGGGGGTCGGACCCCCCCCCCCCCCATGTGTGACGCCCATGCCACCACGCTCAGATATATAAGTAGGGGGTATTCAGAAACAATACAAAACTGCGGAAATGCACTGCTGTTTTATTAGAGGTAACCAGTGTATGTTAATAACAGGCCAATTGCCTACACATGAACATAAACAGTTCATATGGGCGGCTTATCTGACGGCCCCATTTCACTCGCAAAGAGATACACTGTCAAAAGTGAAAATGGAAGTTTTTGATTTTTGTCTCCCAATCAACTGTCCAATCACGATTTGGGGCAATCTGACCCACTCCTCTTGCAGTGCCACGGCCAATTCTTGCAGTGTTGTCCGTTGACGTTGACGTCGATGAACACGTCTTCCGATCAAATTAAACGTAACACACTAAAGCAAAGATACGCTAAACAGTAAATCTTATGCAAGAACCGATAAGAAAGCAAACATGGATAGGATAAACCAGCAAGCAGTAGTTTTCATCAACCCTTCCTTGAAGTGTCAAACTTGACAACAAACCCCTCCCACATGTATGGCGCTATTGGTTCTGTTGGGGCGATAAGTTCTTCATCTGTGAACATACTCTCAAAGCATGTCAAGTGTCCATGACTATTTATCATATCACAACCTGCATAAGTATTTGCATTTCAATATCCCCTACTTTTTTTTGAAGAGTATATATAAAAAGCATTTTCTGCGATATCAATTCGAAGTGAGATTGTTATTGAAATAAGCTATTATTTGATATCAAAATATATTTGACACAGTTATTGAATGTCAGCAATTTTCAATAATTATCATATGAACCATACATAGACCTGAGTACCCGAGAATATATTAAAATACATTAATATAGTCTGCGATACCATGGATTACAAATAGTACCCGAACTCTATACTCTACTTTATTGTGTATTTATAATAAGCTATAATTGTGTTGATAAAGGTGCCAAGTACCATGTATTTTAAGAGTAAAATCAAAACTGGTTACCAGAGTTATAGGTTAAAACGCTGCCATGGCCAACCCATTTGCTTCGAGAAAAACCCTGTTAACAGTATTTATTTTCTGCATATGGCATGGTCTAAATTCGGCTGCAGTTGTTTACAGTGCTGCTCTGACCAATTAGTTCACATAGCAAGTAAGATATTCCGTTGTTTATACATGACACAGTATTTGGAGGTCGTTAAGAACCAATTTAAACTCGTAGAATGACGAAGTCAGATGTAACTTGATATAGTATTTATCTTTAACTGGATAATATAATTTGTTTATAAACCTCAACATGATAAGTTCATAGACGTAAAAGCGAACACGTGGTTGGGGTTATATACGGGGTGTTTTCAGATTAAAGCGGCTGTCGTTTAAAACAAGATACTTATATGGTTTACAAATAATCCACGTTTATTTAAACGAACTTTTTCCAATTGTATTACCCCTCTTCACTCTGTACCGTGTATAAACAATGGTAAGACATAATATTTGTAAAAGTTATTTTTTTTTCTAAACTCCAAAAGACCATAAGTTTAAGTAAACCTTAATAATTATATATTATAATATATTTATTTTACCAATGCATTTTAGTTAGAGTAATTTTGATTCTAGCTTGTTGGGCCTTGTTATAGATTTCTATTCATTTTACTCAACGTTTCAATCTAGTTTTCACCGAAATAAATGTACTTAAACTAGAACATGCGACACAAATAATTACAATCCAAATCGCTATATTTGCAATAATTCCGAGGCGTGTCAGTGTCACTTTAAATTCTTAAAAAAATACTCTTATTAACTAACTTATGGCGCACATATACTTAAATGAGAAAACGTCACTTTAACTTGTTACCGCCTTATCATTATTAACTAGATTGTGGTTACACATTTAAACCAATCATAAAACCAGTTACAGGAATCTGTGGGAGACTATCAGTACGTAGTTTCAAAAATAATATACGTCAGAAAGGATACCATTCTGATCAACCTATTTGTACCACCTTCATAAAGGGCAGCATATAATACATAAACATAAATATAAGGTAGGTTTATCCTATTTTTAATTATTTAGCTTTACTTAACTGCCCTTGCTACACCTGTGCATTACAATCAGTTTATCTCATTAGGAACAAAATGGTTGACCATATCAATCTCTAGGAAATGTTCTAGAGAGAGAGAGAGAAATGGGGTTTAACGTCCACTCGACACAAACTAGGTCATTTCGGGACTAACATATGGTTTAATTTTATTTCAATAATTCGCTTGCGCGTAGGGGTCTTTAGCAGTGGGAGGAAACCGGAGGACCCTAATCTTTGTCACGTACAGCCAGGAAATGTTCTGATAAATTAAAATGTGTTCGGTCTTTCCGGTCGCTAAAACATAATATACAATTATATGGAATACAGGTTACCTAGAAGTTTATTTCTGGTGACGTTAGGACGAGGGTTCTCTCGTCGTTATCAAGTAAAGAGTTCCATATGTGCCATGTGTTACCCTCATTCGGTTACTAAATGCTTACAGGTCGCTGTTTATATCACGGAGAACATGAATGAAAAACAGCACTTATCTCCAATTACTATAAATCACATAATTCTGGCTACATTATTTGGAGCTTTACCCTTTTCTCACCCCCCCCCCACTCCAACTCATTGGATGAACTATAATATCTAATTTTTACGGAATGAGTGCCCATGTAAATCTGTGAGTTAAGAATTTAGCTAATATAACACTAATTTCATCAATGTTCGTGTATGAATATAATTGGTTTTTGGTAATTATATAATGTTAATATTCATCCATGTTCTCAGTGAGGTAAATTGTTTCTTTCCCTATATTAGGGGTGACTTCGGTGGCCGCTGCCCAATTCAATTTCATCGTAAAGAAAAACAGCAAAAGTAGCAGTTTCTATCCTTTTCTCTGGATACACACCTTGCAGATAAAAGAAAAACAACAAAAGAAGCAGTTCCTGTCCTTTTCTCTGGATGCACATCTTGCAGAAGTTTTATTATGATGGATCATCAGGGACTAAACATGCATACATCGAATGGAGTTTTGTATAACTGCGGTTCATTTGATCTTTAGTTTTAAGAGCTCTTGCAAAATTTGTAAACCAACAACATACTGTTTGAAATATTACGCCAGTCCAATGATAAAATATACAGTATGTATAAAGTGCAGATACCATCGGACAAGGATGCATTTAATTTTTGTATCATTAAATTAGATTACAATATAAATTTTATATATATTGTAATCTAATCAATGGTACAAAAATTAAATGCATCCTTGTCCGATGGTATCTGTGCTTTATAGTCCTTACAGCACACTGTGACCTTTTGAAAAACGTTCATTATTGTTTAACATTTAACAATGTAATTTATGCGGCATAATTATGATGTGAATTTCTAATGAGTTTTTAACGATATTAAAGGGAACAAACAACCCAAATTGTAAATTAAAATATGCCACTTTGTTGGACTCTAGAAATGGTTCCTGTTATGTATTGATTGCAGATCATTACCGTACCTTTAAGATTAAGGTAAGGCAAGTTGTAGTCGGGACTGAGGTAACTTTAGCCCGGCAGTTCGATTTATTCAATCCTAGAATAAAGACATGTTTTGAAACCACCTTGGTGTTATATAAACCCCACTCCAATATACAATAATTGGCGACGAGGATCAAAGATGGCAACTTTTGGTAAAATAGAACAGTTTAGTGGTAATAAAGATGAATGGGACCAATATATAGAACGTCTTGAACAGTATTTGGTGGCAAATAATCTTGATGAAATTGAACTGAATAGGGATGAAACGAACGCAACCGCAGTCAACGCACGTGCACAGAAAAGGCGTGCTATCCTGTTAAGTGTTATTGGGCCATCTACTTACTCAGTTCTTCGTAACCAAATATCACCAAATAAACCGGCAAGTAAGACATTTGATGAAATAATTGATATATTAAAAAGTTATTTTTCTCCGACTCCCTCTGAGACTGTGCAACGTTTTAAATTCCATACGTACCACAGACGACAGGGAGAATCAATAGCCGACTACGTTTCAGAATTACGTCGACTTGCTGAAAATTGTAACTTTGGTAACAATCTGAACAATATGCTTAGAGACAGACTTGTATGTGGAGTGGCGGATGAACGGATACAAAGGAGGCTTTTGTTAGAAACGGAGCTAACTTTTGAAATTGCATACACCATTGCCTTAGCCCAAGAATATGCTACACGCGATGCTAGTGTTTTACAAGGTACAAGTTCCTCAAATGACGCAGTATCATCTGTACATAGGATTGGTGGACAAAAATCGTTCTCTAAAGACAAAAGAGCACACAATCAAGACAGCAGTAATATAAGTGTACGTCGTAAACCCTGTTTTCGTTGTGGTGGAAGTAATCATACGTCTGACAAATGCCATTTTAAAGAGGCTGAGTGTAATTTCTGTCATAAGATAGGACATATTGCGAAGGTTTGCTTGTCCAGACGTATCAGACAGTCGCGTAAATCTGGAAAACATCCAAATTTTAAAGCGAATGCGATCAGTGCAGACTCTGACACCGATGTGTTATTTACTTTAAATTCTCTAACTGGTAGTGCCCCTTTAAACGTTAAGGTTTTTATTGACGGTAAACCCGTTAAATTTCAGTTAGATACCGGTGCAGGTGTAACGGTTATGAACAAACATGATTATGAAGAACTATATGGAAATTCCCGATTGTCTCGGTCGTACATTAAACTTAGTTCGTATACCGGAAATAAAATAAACGTTCTCGGTGAGAAAATAGTAAATGCTGAAACTAATGGACAGAAAACTCTTCTACCACTGATTGTAGTTGACGGAAATGGCCCACCTTTGTTAGGCAGATCGTGGTTACAAGAGCTTAAACTAAACTGGGATGAAATCATGACACTGTCAACAATTCAGTCTTCTGCTAGTTTAACAAGTTTATTGGATGAATTTGATGAGTTATTTTCGGACAAAGTAGGACTTTTGAATGATTATAAAATTCATTTAGACATTGTAGACAATGCTACTCCAGTATTTTGTAAAGCTAGATCTGTACCATTTGCTATGAAAAAGAAAATAGAAGAGGAGCTAAAGCGGCTTGAAAGTGATGGTTTAATTCAGAAAGTGACATATTCGGACTGGGCAGCACCAGTGGTTCCAGTGATCAAACCAAATGGCAGCTTGCGACTGTGTGGTGACTATAAACTTACAATAAATAAAGTGGCTAAGCTTGATCGCTACCCCCTCCCTTTAATAAACGATATTTTTTCTAATTTGGCTGGTGGAAAATATTTCACAAAGTTGGATTTGTCACAGGCATATCACCAAATAGCTTTGGATGACGTATCGAGGGGATTAACAACAATAAATACCCACTGTGGTCTTTATGAGTACTTACGCTTACCTTTTGGTGTTAGCTCTGCTGTGAGTTTGTTTCAGAGAGCTATTGAAACTGTTTTAAAGGGATTAGTTGGACAGAGTGCTTATCTTGATGATATTATAGTAACCGGTTGTAATGAAGAGGAACATTTAGAAAATCTCCGTGCTGTTTTATCGCGTTTAAAATCGTGTGGTTTGAAACTTAGAAAAGAAAAATGTAAGTTTTTGTTGACTGAAGTTGAATATTTAGGATTGAAAGTGACGGCTGATGGTATTCATCCTACTGAATCCAAAGTGAAAGCTATTAAAGAAGCAAAGGCACCTTCTAACGTATCACAGTTGCGATCATTCGTTGGTATGGTGAACTATTATTCACGGTTTCAACCACACCTTTCACATCATATGGCTCCACTTTATGATCTATTAAAGGTTGATAAGAAATGGAGTTGGAATAATAAACATGAACTCATTTTTCAGAAAATAAAATCTATGATGTCTGATGAAATAGTTCTTGCACATTATAATCCTGATGCTGAGTTAGTACTCTCCTGTGATGCCTCGCCGTTTGGAATTGGTACTGTTCTACAGCAACGAGAGGAAGATGGTAAACTGAAACCCATATCGTTCGCGTCACGAAGTCTTTCCGCTGCAGAGAAGAACTACGCCCAGATTGAGAGGGAAGCCTTATCAATAGTATTTGGTGTACAAAAATTTAGGCAATACTTGCTTGGTAGAAAATTCACGTTACTTACTGACCACAAACCATTGGTTAAGTTATTCGGAGAAAATAACGGAATTCCTCAACTGGCCGCGGCCCGTATAAAACGTTGGGCTCTGATCTTATCGGCATACCGTTATGAAGTGAAATATGTTTCTTCAAAAGATAATCTGTGCGCGGATTACTTATCACGTACGCCGTTACAAGATGATAGAAGTAATTTTAACTGTCATAACGACGAAGTTTTGTTTGTTACAAACTCTGTGTTGAAAGAGGTTCCTTTAACTTCAAAAGTTATCGCCGCAGAAACCCGAAATGACACAACTCTATCAAAAGTTTTACAACTGTCCCGAGATGGTTGGCCTAATTATTGTAATGTTGATGAGCTAAAACCCTATTTTATCAGAAAGACCGAACTGTCGATCGAACAAGACTGTGTTTTATGGGGAAGTAGAGTTATAGTTCCTGTTAATTTACGACCGACTCTTTTGTTAGATTTGCATAGTGAACATTTGGGAACTGTCCGTATGAAAGCTGTTGCCAGACAGTATTTCTGGTGGCCGAAAATTAATGAGGAAATAGAAAAAATTACTAAACATTGTAAAATGTGCCAAGAAAACGCGCCTATGCCTGCATCCCCGGACGTCGCATCGTGGAATTGGCCCTCGAGCCCGTGGAAGAGATTACATCTAGATTTCGCCGGTCCATTTTTAGGTTACTATTTTTTGATTGTCGTTGATTCTTATTCGAAATGGTTAGAGGTCATTCAAATGAAATCTATCACCACGACATCAACTGTTAAAGAACTTAGGAAGCTATTTTCGACATTCGGTACTCCCGAACACATAGTAACAGATAATGGTACTCAATTTACTAGTAGTGAGTTCTTCGAGTTTCTATTCGCGAATGATATTAAACATACGCGTACAGCTCC